TACTTCTCAAAATCGCTTTCAGGTGCATACCTGTTATTCCAACAAACAACGGTCTCTTTAACGAATATTGTGGATACATTGATTGCTAAAAATGACCGACCACTAAGGCAGAAATGCTTCAGCAGGGCCAAGGGTCCTTCACATGAAGCGATCTTACGAGTCGTTGCGCAACCGTACATACCCCAAATTAATACCCGTTTAGTTTACAGGTATTCGTGATGTAAGTGGGTTTAGTTTGACGTCCCAATGGTTTTTTAGTTACACCGCGGCGTGTCAGCTTTATGTAGGTGGAAAGCCGAAGTAATTCAAATCTTGGACGTTTACCACTTGGGTGAAACTCAAAAGCATGAGTATGGTGTTGATAACTAAGAAACACAATCAGCGTAAATTGGAGATTCCAACCCACGAGTATAGGTTACCGAGGCGTAACCCAATACATTGCGCCTCAGATGCCTTGGAACCTGTGCCTCGTACAGTTTATGTACCCGTGTATTATGTTTCCACCCCAGCATGATAAATACCTTGGTTTTAGAAGTGCCGCCATATCAATGTCTCTGATAATTTTTCAATAAAATGTATCTAATTTGACCGGAAGGCTGATTTGTTATGATAACATAATGAAGACATAATGCACTGGATAATCGAGGATGGATGCGGTTACAGTGACCGTGTAACATCACTCAGTACTTATGTACGGGACCCGTGAAGATCCGGGGTAGAATAGGTCTTCAACAACCAATGCTTGCCGTAAAAGGCGACTATGCTTGTCGAAAGAGGAGACTGACGGGATCGGATGGTCAGGCTCGCTGACTTGGTTGATGCATGTCATCGATCCCAATTGCGTCGATCGATGTTCATGGAACCAATCACTGGATTGTCTCGATTATTTACAGACTGCCGTCATAGAGCTGGAATACTGCTGAGTGCGGCGTTAAACAACAAACAAACAAAACAAAAGGTATGTACGGTAGGAGTCGTGAGAAACTGAACGAGTATCACAAATCCTAGACTGCTTCCATGAAACAAAAGAGTATTTAGTTTTGCGAGTGTTGACGACTTGAATGGGACACGCGTTAAAGAAGTGTTCACGGGATGATACCTCGGATTTGTCGCAGATGTCGTCCACAGTCCTCCTCCAGTGTTCAGCTCAGGTGTTGTGATAATGAAAACACTCCAACAGAGTGGTACACGTGGACAGCATGAATATGAGCGACAGCAGTAGTAATATGCTTATACAAGTATGCACACCATCAGGTGCGGATACAGCTTCTTGAAAGGGGGATTGGGTGCACTTAATATTTAGAAATCAATGCCAGATGAATTAAGAATTAATTAGGGACACAAGTTCCGTTTATAAACTAAAATCTAGTGAAATAATTGTTTTGGAAGAATAAATCTCCAAATGATTATGTTATTTTTCTATACGCTAGCATGATGGATTAGCTACTCAAAAAGGGGTGCAGTCCCACCCCTAGATGCAATATAAACTATTGTATATGCTCACCAACCTACTTTACTCATCGTCACATTACATGCTTTTTTGTGACGTTATCTACCTCCAGAAAATAAATTCAACTAGTGAAGTGAAGATGTACTAGTTTTCTGAAGACGTAACAGTTAACATATACATATACCAGAAGTGAGATATTGTGTAAGTGTTTGGAGTTCTTAATAGCAGGTGTGAGGACATAAAAGATGACATAGTTGGAGTTATTACCCTCTCGCGATTTTATGGCTAACAGATATGGTGTAACACTGTCAGACCTCCTCATCATGACACCTTTGAGTATCTTACATTGAAAAAATACCCGAGTGAATGACTTCACTTCTATATCTACAAAGTGAGTGAGTGAGTTGGGTTTAACGCCGCTTTTAACAGTATTCCAGTCATATCGCGGCGTGTCAGCTTAATGTGGCAGGAAAGCCCGAAGTGATGCAGGTCTCAGACGTTTAGCACTTCGGTGAAACCCACAAGCACGGGTATGGTGCTGACAATCCTAGAAACAAAATCGGGCCGAACCGGAATTCGAAACCACAATCATAGGTTCCTGGCGTGCCCAAGGGACGCAACTCTGCACAGCGAATCACGACGACTGGGCCACCCGTGTCCCCCATATCTACAAAGGGATGCGTGGTTGCTGACTCATACCTGGTTGCATATGAAGATCTACACCTCCTAAGCGACTTTCAAAATTGAATGCGATAGGACTCTAGTACATCATCCACTTGGTTTAGAGGATACTGACCCCTGTAGAACACAAGACCACTCTCGCTTAACTTGGGGTGTCGGTACACAGGAGAATGTTCAGCGAGTGGCCCCAGGATCTGCTCATGCAGCAGAATACTTCGCCTATTCCATTTTCTCTATACAGGCTAAAATTATATTGGCAGTCAGATCTTTGAAGAATGAAAAGGTAGTAGGTGAGAAGACTACCAGTCTAAAAAACCCTTTCTCTACGAGTTCCTGAAAATGTGTTATGACAGTGGACGAATGTCGGGGTATAATTCAACCAGTAGCCAAACGAAATACAAAGGACCAGAGAGACCGTCTGGCGTACCGGGGTAAATTTAACATTGACCTCATGTGTAAGGTATATTGCCATTTGGGCGGAGGAAAAACCCCTTGTTGGGGAGCAAAATAGATTCAGTAAGGGGAGAAGCATCATTTAAAAAATCTGACTAATACTGTGGAGAAACAGAACAAAAGATGAGCACGTTCAAGGCTTGTATAGACTCAAAAAAAGCCCATGACTCTATCAGTATAACCCTTCTGTGGACAAAGCGCGAAGATGTGGGTGTTACCTCTCAACGACCTGGAACATTTTCCGGTATGTACAGGGGATGGTAGTAGTTGTGTTAGAGTTAACGGTGTAGCAACTGAGGGGTTCCAGGTAAACAGCCTCTGTTATTTAATTTATTCATAAACGACCTTGCACTGATGTTGAAGAGTCTTAAAATCGGCATTCATTGACAATGAGCTTGCATGTGTGCTGCTATGTGCGGATGACATTGTCCTGATGGCAACAACAGAATCAGGCTGTCAACGTCTTTTTAACTACCAAGGTACATGGTGTAAAACTAATAATATAGGTATCAATGCCAAGGTTTCTTTTAAAGCCGGTAATCTGCCTATTGAAACTGTTCATCGGTTGATCACCAAGACTACATTACAGCTACAACTGTGACTCAAGCAGCAAGGGGTGCACTGGGTCTTGTCATTGTCTGCTGTAAAGGGTTTGGTTATGTTGACTACAGTGTGTTCACAAATCTGTATGACAGTTTGGTTTTATTTTAAGTAATAATATGTTGAGCAACAGTCTGGGATCAAAAAGAGTTCTCGCCCATCAATGCAGTTCTGTAAAGAGCAGACCGTTCCTTTTAGGGAGTGGGGAGATATACACCCTCTGATGCAGTACTTGGGAGACTTGGGATCACTTGCTGTAGGAATAAATCTGAGCCTAGCTGTGGTACGACAATGGCGCAGATTCAAGAACACGAGTGATCAGATAATATATATAAAAGGATTTCCACGTGGAATGACAATCTGTCATCTTCCCGTTGCAAAACGGGTCTTTGAGAGTCCATTGTTTATTATACGAGAACAGTGCTCATATCCATTTACAAGATCAAGTTACACTATCAGCAACAAGGGCAGATATCGATAACCCGGAAACTAACTGCAATTGGGGGATCGCAAATGCCACAGGAGTACGATGCTGCTATCGTACTCTTAAAATCACCCATGGTACTGAAGTCAATATGTTTATACCTGTTTGGATATTGAGAAGCTCTCAGCATGTTTTACTAGTAACCACCTATGTTTAAATGTGCAAACACCTGTTTTAATATTCACACGAGACGTGGGTATCTACTACACAGGTAATATCTGTTTTTATTCATTTATCTTTTTTTCTTGTATTTTACCGTTGAATTTTATGTGGTGTATATATACACATAACCGTTTATATACACAAGTCTCTCGTAACTCTTACAGTGAGTGAGTTAAAATTGTCGCATCGGCAATATTTCAGCCATATAGCGACGAGTAACTCTCACAGTGGCTCATGCATAACTATATGATACTACTGTATTCTTATGTTCTTTTACATGTATATATGAGGTGAGACTCAAATATATTATCTGTCAGTGTTGGAACTGCGGTCCTGAAACGTATCAACTGGAGGACGTTTATCACAGACGTAGTGTCATGCACAATTCAACATCATATACACCATTCAATTGGAGGATGTGTAATTACTGCATACCCTTTGAAATTACGTGGACAATAATAATGAATGTAAATAATGTTTCTTGGTTAAAGTAGATTACATTTTACTGCCGTTGTCCATCACCACATACGTGACTGTGACACATTATCATAATCAAGGCATCTTCCCGAGGCAAGGGGGCCGTATTTCCACCCTTGCCGAACTAGGCTGAAATTATGGACTCATAGATTTTGGCTCGACAAAAGAGTCTATGCATAGTCCAATCAAAATTATGAAACGAAAAAGACATCCGGTTCATAAACTATCGTGCAGATTTTGGTCGATTGCAGGATTTGCAAAGCATGTGTACTGTAGCGACATTTTCCATATCTGTTCATGTTTTAACCAATGTGGTCACGTGATGCACTTCGCAGAGTAAGACCCGTTTTATTACAATATAGATCTTGATTAATGATCAGATCGTCTCGACTGGGCGCCGCCATTTTGTTTGAAGCAAATGCAAGTGATATATGAGTCTCGAATCTGATTGGTCAGTAGGAGGGACATAAAAGGGACATAGCTCGTAATAGCCACTGGTGGCGCTACGATCGAGCCCAGAATATCCAGCCAAGTACGACAACGGTGGAAACTATCTTTTTTAGTCAATAACTCCCTTGCCTCGAGAAGATGTAATCAAGGTACCTCCTTTACAACCCTATAATACAGTTGTACTACACCAGAGAGTAAATATTACTTTAAGCAGTTTAGCAATCTCATGCTTATCAAAAATCATAAACGGAAATGTTTTAATGCGAAACATTGTTGACATAAATACAGAGAAGTATTAAACGACGATGACGGGGACTAGCTTATAACATTACTATTGCACAAGGTCTATATGTAGAAGACAAAGTTAATTGTAAATTGTGCAGTCTATAGATGCATTGGAGGATTCACACGCTTCAGGATTCCCTCAACAGAAAGCCTGAAAACCGTGTCCATGGACTCTGTCTCAAACTGCCAGCTGGGCCGTAGTACTTGATGACCTTCACCTTGTGACCTTCCCTCACGTGGCACACTGCAGTTCCTGAACCAGTTGACCAAGCACTTTCAACACGGACACGAGTAGAATAGGCGCTATCTTCACATTTGAGTTCGTATTCCTGTCCAGGGCCACCAGTCACCATCACCTGAACGGTGAACAGGTAAAATCCTAGTGGAAAGAGAAAACCGCAATGCAGAGTAATATTACGTGAAATAAAACACACAGATATTTGAGTAGGGCAATAATTCAGTAGTGTCTGAGTATGGTTATCATCGCTTTGAACAGTATTTCAGTGATATAACGTCATGTCAGATTGATGTATGAGAAAAGCTTGAAGTGATGCAGGGCTATCACCTTGATGAAACCCATGAGCAGGGGTATGGTGCTGCTGACAAACCTAGAAACATAATCAGGGCAAACCGGAAATTCGACCCAACAAGCATGGGTTTCCTCTACGTATGACGGACTCAACTCTTCACCGGAATATCGACACCCTTGACGACTGAGCCATCCATGACCCTCGAGGACAATAACACAGAAATGGGTAAGTTCCCCTGGCTTTACTTTCTCAACCGCTTGTGTGATATGGACAGACATGGTTAGACATTTACAAATTAATACAAGATTGCCAAACTACATAAAACAAGGTCAGAAGAGAATACAGATAATAAAAGGGGTTTCATCACGAAGCTGGGGGGCATTATACACTCTTCAAAAAAAGAAACGTATAGTTAAAAAATAAGCATATTTATTAAGCGGATGTAAAAGTATCTACACAGAATATGCGGGAACACAATCAAATGAAATTGGACACAGTGATCGACAAATGCATTGTCAGCATTAATTCAGTTCAGTCATTGCAATGTGTAGCTACAAGGGGGCGTCATGGTCAGAACCTGGTCACACCACCTCTTAAAGCCGTCACTGCTCGACACCTCCTTGGCACAGATTGCACAAGTCGTCGGATTTTTTCGTGGGAAATTCTTCGCCATTCCTCCTGTAAGGCGTTGGCGAGTTGTGCCAATGTTGGCGGACGCATCGATCAAGTTCGTCCCACAAATGTTCAATCGGGTTGAGATCAGGCGATTTGGACGGCCATGGAAGGACACTGATGTTCTCATTTACAAGGAAATTAACTGTTGCACGTGCTGTGTGGGGCCGAGCGTTGTAATGTTTGAACAGCTCCCTCTGGCGGTCCAAAGTTGGGAAGAGGTGAGGACGCAGAATTTGGTCTATGTATCGGTTTGCTGTAAGATTGACCTGGACAACCACTAACTTTGATCTACCCATGTAGGATATGACACTCCCTCCACCAAATCGGTCCACCTGTCGAACGAAGTTCGGCGCAAAACGTTCATGTCGACGTCGGTATACACGTTGTCTTCAATCCCATCGTTGAAGAAGCAAATGTGAATCATCGCTGAACCAAACGCGTCGCCAGTTCCTGAGATCCCATGCCTGTACTCTGTTGCACCACCCGACACGTCGTTGACGGTGTAGACGTCGCAAAACAGGTCCAACTTTTGGTCGTCTCGCTCGAATTCCCACTTACCTCAGACGAATTCTGATGGTTTGGTCGGAAATTTTTCGCATACCAGGCACCTGCCCTGCAGTGTCCGTTACTCTACCAAATCGATTCCGAAAGTGATGCAACCGGATGTACCGATCCTGAGCAGGGGTGGTCACTCTTGGTCTTCCACTTCTGGGATGATCTTGAGTCGAATTAGTGCGGCTATATCGATCCCATAGTCGAGATATCGTGCTTTGGTGAACGTTGAAGTGTCTTGCAACGGCAGACTGGGACTCCCCTGCTTCCAAACGTCTAATGGCGATATTTCGGTCAGCTGCAGTTAATCTTGGCATTTTTCGATCTCCGTTCACGTCAGAAAATTCGTAATGAACTGATGAATTTTGTACGGTCTTTTATAGTCAGTGTCTCTACTCTTGTTTCCAACACTTTGCACGTGCATGTGCTGAAAACGTTTTCTGAAAGCAATTTCCGTGCATCTTTTGCATTTTTGCTGATAAACGTTTACAAAAAACATTTTGAGATGTGTCAAATCAAACATAACAATTGTCTTCATGACGATTGCTGGGGAAAAAATCTAATTGGAATTCTCAAAACGCCTATGCGTTTCTTTTTTTGAAGAGTGTACATTACAAGGAACCTATTCAAAACCAATGAAGTAAAAACACCCGTTTTGAACATGCAATTACCTAAAAAAAACTCTTTGGAAGAAACAAGCGTTTTTGTAAAGGTTGCACTTGGATAGTTCTATTTCGAAACGAACATTGTTATTGATGTCACTTTTCCCTTTCCTCTAAACATTTGTTCTTGTTGTTAATGACGCAAGTCGCAAGTTATCCCAAACTGTTTTGTTTGTTCATTGTTTAACGCCGCACTCAGCACTATTCAAGCTTTATTACGGCTGTCTGTAAATAATCGAGTTTGAACCGGATAATCCATTGATTGATATGACCATCGATCCAGGCAATTTGGATGCGATGACATGCATCAACCAAGTCACTCGATCCTGTTAGTCGCCTCTTGCAACAAGCATGGGTTGATGGACACATATTCTAACCCAAAATATGAGGGATCATACCAAACTGTCCACCTTTCTGGCTTACAGGAACATTATGAAGTCAAGGGGCATTATACAATAAACCTTTAATGTATATTCAATAACAACGGAATTGCTGATGACTACATTGGATCATAATACGTGCTTCAACTGCAACAATGTTGGACTCAGCAGGGCCCGAAAAATCCACTCGTTCGTTCATATTGACGAGTGGCAGCATGTGCTGGTTGAGAAACGCTCGTCATATCGGACGAGTAAATATATCAATCATATCAATTTATCTGTACTCGTTTTCATCAAAATATGAAAGATAATCTCGAACCTAAAATATGTTATCATAGCCCGTACGTTCTCAGTAATGATAGCGGAGTGCAGACAGACAGGCCACCGGCCCAAAGTACATTGATACAACATGATAAACCACGCATGCGAGAGTAAAATACACACATACAACATTTTTTATGAATGACAAAAAGGTATAAGGTATTCATTAAATTGTAGGCTTTTGCTAAGAACAAACCCATATCATGAAGGTTATCACCCGTTTGCATTATTTGTGTGAATGTTATTAGAGATCGATATTCAGTGTAATATGGCGAGAGGTACTTTCTTTTTATAATGGCATATAAACATCTTATGGTATTCATCTTTAAAATATTTGCAGTTATTGGACACACAGAAATCACAAAATCGTTCATTATGAGAGTGCAACCGTGCCTTCCAAGACCCACATTTAAACGGAAATTATTACATCTAAACTTCGAAATACATATTTTAAAGTAATATGGAATGTCATTTGTTAAATAACGTTCTCATTTGTACTGAACATAGTAATTACATTTCGAAGCTAATTCCATTGAAGAATGCCAGTTGTGTCACAGGTTATCTGACAATCTTTGTTGAAATTACTTTAGGGATAATGTTGTATCGCCGATCTCTTGCTATAACCAGACCAGCCCAAAAACTAAGCTGAACAAAATGTTTTTAATTCATGTAGCATATGTCCCTCTGCCCACCTCATCAAAGGATTCATGGTTAAGAAGGTTTGACGGGGTAATCTGTGAGTCCAGACGAAGACGTTTGCACCAATAGTTAACTGCTCTTGTCATATAGACAGATTGCAGAGGGAGCCTGCCACAATCCCCAAGTACCATATTACAACACTGTCACATATTTTAAAGGCATCGTGAATGATAGGTATCCATTTTTCTTTTGATAGTAGTTGATGCATCTGATTGATTTGTTTGCTTTAGCTGTTACACTACTGAAGGTCTTACTCCACGACAACTTGGGGGTGAAAAACTGTTCCTAAATATTTATTAAAATTCGCAACATTAATTTTTTTCTCCTTATACAATATTTCGTAGCTTTTTTGATATTCCGCCCCGTCGAAATACTCGAGAACATTTATTTTCATCTGCATCTGCAAGGCAGTGTCCGCAACAGACGATACATCACCTGCGTATAATAATGCAAACAAATATGGTATCTCACTTCTAATAAATATGCCTTGACCACCATGTTTTTCCAACATCACTACTGGGTTCTTTTAAAAAGATTATAAAAACAATTAACAGGTGAATTAATCAGGAAGACCACCATCCTTCATTCGAAAATATGATGATAAGTTAGAGTACATCGATGTTAGTAATCGTAGAAAGAGTATGTATTCCCACTCGATTTAAGCTTTCTTAAAAAATGCTGTGCTTCACTCGTTGAAAGCCTTCAAAAATTCAATAAAGATGCAGTAAAATCTCTCCCTTGGTCTATGAGATGTATCTTTAAAACGGGAGAAACATGTTGCTAATAACAAAAATAGACGGCACTCAAATGTCAAAGTGAAAAGGAAGGATTTTGTGAAGGAAATGGCTGATATAAGTTGGCCCCTTAATATTTCACATGAGGAATTTGTCATTCCCTCTATCAATCGTTCTTTTGTCACCTTTGACAAACACATAAATAATTCTGTATGGCGTTACGGTTTGTGGAACAATAGGTTCACGGAGTGGAAGTGATGAGTACAGTGGAAGGGCTGTGGGTCGGGGTACGTACCGGATACAGGGGCAGTGAATTCACCAGTGTCCGGGTTGTACGCTCCTCCGATGTTCTCGTCAACTTGGTCAAACACTATGGTGCCTTTTAACGTAAATGCTGCGTCCTGTGTCAGTGAAGTTACGAAGTGCACTGTTCCTGTTAAAGACAACTACATCATTACTTCAACACATATCAACAACAGCATTACTTCAACACATATCAACAAACAATAATGTGTTAGATTCCACTTTGGGAGGACTCTCCCACGCAAATAGCTATGTGGCTGAGATGATAGTGCCCATAACACATAAAAAAATTAAAAAGCGACAGAAAATCCAAATATTGAAATCAAATTTCGCACTGCACCTCTCTTATAGGCATTAAAAGTGTTAAACAAACAAGAATCTATGTGGTAGTTTTCAAATTATAGGCCACCCCAAATAATGTCCTGGGATGGACTGACGGGTGGAATTCCTTGGTATAACTATTAAAATTAAATTTAAAGGAGCATCACCAGGTGAATTGAGGAGCGGTTCACAATGTAAAAACAGTACCAAACTACTCTTGTGCCACACGCTGGACGACACGAGTCCCAACTTTATCTGCTCTCACAGCCAAATACATAATCGTTTTCTAAACGTGAATAGTCTCTACTCCAGGAAGAATAAAAGGGGGAAGTTCAAGCAATAAATTGAGCGAGACAAACAAACTCATGTGCACACATGTTGTCTGTGGGGAGCAATATCTTGTATGGCCACCATTAGCGGCCAACACTGCCATCGTCGTCCCATGAAAGCAATCAGATACCGACTCTTGGCCTGGGAAATGTTCACCCACTCTGCCTGCAGTGCTTGTGCCAACTGTCGGATGTTCTGTGGTTGTCGTTGTCGCTGTCGTTGATCCAGTGCAACCCATAAATGTTCGAGTGGGTTCAATCTGGTCCATGGCCGGACCTGAATGTTGTGAGTCTTGCCTTGTGAGTCTTGCCTTTTTGTCAGTCTTGCCTTGTGAGGTCGGGCGTTGTCTTGTTGGAAAACGACGTTCGCTTGTTGTATAATGGGATGGACGAGTGGCCGAAGAGTGTCATCCGTGTAACGTTGTGTCGTTAAAGTTCCCTAATCTTACACCAAGTCTTCTCTACCAGTGTAGGAGATGGCCGCCCACATCATTACACTACCACCACCAAATCTGTCCACTTCCTGTTTGCAGTTTCCAGAATAACGTTGCCCGCGACGCATGTAAACACAACGTCTACGATCCGTACAGCAAAGCATAAGACGTGACTCGTCACTAAACCAAACTTGTCTCCATAGCAGTTGTGACCATTCTCTGTGACCTTGACACCATTGACGTCGCAGCCGACGACGCAGGTCCGTCAAAATGACATCTCGAACTGGTCGTCCAGCGCGAAGACCTTCAACGCGTAAACCGTTACTCACTGTATGGGCTGGTATCCTCCGCAATCCTGGTATTGCTATTGTTGTTGAGGTGGCTGTGTTTGTATGAATATGCCCTGTGCTCTAGTAGTAATCGACGTGGTCGACCGGATCTGGATAGGTCACGTGTTGCCCCGTGTGTTTGATAACGGTTCCACAGTATTGAAATGATGCTTGGTGCTATGTGAAAAACATCTGGCTACAGCTGAACATGATTCTCCTACTTGCAGTCGGCATTGTTGCTTTGGGCTATCGTCAGTCGTGGCATGTTTTCGCTGTTCACTTGCTGTAAGATTGTGATGACATGCACGTGCACGTGTTGTGTTTCGGCGCGAGGCTCGCACGTAGTTGTGTTTTTGCGATTTTTTCATCTTTTTCTAACAAATTTCTGCAGTACCTCATTCTTTCCACACAAATCAATCCCAATCCATGCAGAAATGACCCTTTCACTTTGGGCATTAAATTCGATTTTCAGATATAAAAAATATTTTATTGATATCACAAATTCAGTTTTAGATATCTTAAAATTATTCATTGATTTTAAGAATTCGATTTAATGATATCATTAATTTTTTTTTTTTTTTATATCAATAATTCGATGTTTTGGTTGCGGACAAGAAGCGTGGGGAGGTTTTTTAAGAAGTCACCAACCCAAATAAATATGCCAAATTTAGCTTTATGCGTGATAAGCGTGACAGACAATATTGTAAGCATGTAATTATCTATTGCGGTATGACTTCAAAGGAAAATCATTTTTTTCATGAACCTCGTGATTCATTGATATCACAAATTCGATTTTGTACGTCAATAATACATTTCGAATTTGTGATATCTGAATGTAGCGACATCAAAAATAAAACTGTGATATCACAATTCATTTTTTATATCAATAATTGGATTTAGTAAAAATTCAAAACACATCGGTCTAACTGACATTTCAAAAGGATAAAATGATAAAATAGAGAATATATAGTATAACGGTGCCGCATAGCCTTTCTACATGGACAGACATAACGGGCCGATCTCTATTTTGAGAGAGACAATGCTCGCTGAACGATACATCTACTCACCACTAAACTGTCCGGCCTCAGATGCACCGAGTATGGAACAGCCCTTCCCGATGTCCATCAGTCTGCCAGAAACTAGCGACTTCCGATCGGTCGGTTTTCCCGCCTCGGGATCAGGTTTGACGCCGCGACTGCTCCGATTCCTGCGCATGTGTTTCACTTCCGCATGCAAACTAGACTTGTCGGGTGCAGCAGTTGTGATGGACAATTCCACTGCATCTTTAGTCGATTTCCTGTTTGTCAGCCGGTCCGATTGAGCCTTCCTTCTCCCCACACCTTTTCCCCGTGCAGGCATGCTCTATTGTCGATTATTATCCTTGTATTTTGGCGACGAACAGTTTCACAGAGAGAGATCACCCCGTTTATCCCGGTCGTAAGCGCACGAGATCTTGTCCACAACAGAGGCACAGCTCCAGAAGATTTATCGACTAGTAATAATCTCTGGGTTTCTTAGATATGCCTTATTAATAGGGACTGCTTTGATTTGAAGTACCAGCAGTTACTCTTCAGTACAGATTGTATCACGACATTAATGAATATTTATTTTGTAATCATCGATTACCTTCACACTTAGTTGTCGCATCTACCGCACGATTCACTTGTTTCGTTATTGACAATGCGCCTTGGATGGTAGTGTCTAAAGGGACGCTACTCTTCACTACTGTTTGAGTCGTATGGTAGAGCTCACGCATGAAAACTGAAAGGGATTTCTGTGTACGATTTATAAATATTATTTTACAGACAAAAAATACCGGGTAAATTCAATGGTCCGGAAACTAAGCCAAGAATTATGCCACAATGAGCGAGATGGATATGTAGTTCCTTTTCTGATCAATCTCTTCAAATTATAATTTTCGCTTTGAAACATGACGTTAAAAACAATAATGTTAGGTTCATAGCTTTTGTACATATCAAAATATTTTGTTGGTGTAACTACATAAACTATAGCGGTACATATGCATACTGTACTAATATAATGTATCTATGCCTCTGTTCAGAACGTTTTGGAGCAACTTCGTGTAATAGCCTGAGAGTATAAACTTTGGATTTAGAGTGAGTGAGTGAATATGGTTTTACGCCGCTTTTAGCAGCAGTCCAGCAATATCACGGCGGGGGACACCAGAAATGGGCTTCACACATTGTACCCATGTCGGGAATCGAACCCGGGTCTGCGGCGTGACGAGCGAACGCTTTAACCACTAGGCTACCCGACCGCCCCTTGGATTTAGAAGCTGTTACTGTTATCGAACCTGTGTCAGTTTGTATAGGCCCCCTCATAACTAATACGCCAAGATTCGGAGATAAGTCGGAGAAATACGATTTTTACTTCACGCTGATTGAGTGACTCAACTCCATCGGGCTATTGTTAGCGAAGAGGTCCTAAAACAGATAACTACATTGTCGCGAAGAAAGGAATAACCTCATTCATTGTTTTTGACGTTACAGAATATTTTTGTTGAGTCTCCGAAGTACATCAATGACCGAGCTGAAGTTATGGGATCAACAAACCCTCTTACAAGACCTCGGGACAGAATCACTAATAATAATCGCTCAAGACAGATATTCATAATTTCATAGTAGCACAAAGTACTCTCTAAATATCTCAGCTTAAAAATAACATCAATCAATGTGTGTTCAAGCCATATGCCGGCGGACTGTAAGTGAGTGAGTCAGATGGGCTTAATATGGGAGGAAAGCCCGAAGTGATTCAGGTTTCAGACGTTTACCTCTATGGTGAAACCCAGGCGCTAGGGCATGGTGCTGACAAACCTTGAAACATTATCGGGGCGAACTGGGATACTTCAGGTTTCAGGTGTGCCCAAGGAACGCAACTCTATCTGCACAAAGAAAACGTCGACTGGGCCACCCGTGCCCCATATCTTATTGAGAATCTCTATAATTCAAGATAAATCTATCGTTTCAAATTTATCATAAAATAAAAGAGAAACTTAAAATTACACCAAACAATCATTCTACTCTCAATCACACAACACGCACGTAACTGGGTGTGTATACATTTATTGATGTAGCAGTCAATTGATCAAACAGTATCGTGGCAATATGAAAGTTTTAATAGTTTACTGTGATTTAATGTTTATTTATTGATACGGTTTGATACTTTTATGTAGGCAGGTTAAAAGTGATCATGCTGAATCACCTACACACTCAACCACACAAGGAAATAATGTAACTAAGATCAATACAGATAACCTATGTGTAAAATAAACAAAGCATATTAAGGAAACAACAAGGTAATAGAAAGATTACATCTTTATTGCTTAAATTTCGTATGTAGTAATACAATGATTTAAATTTAAACTAATATGCTAAAATCTATAATAAAAAAATTATGGGTATCAACATAATTTTTATATTACTGGGAAATTTATGATTCAAACACTAGCTGCAGCCATGAATAAATTAAACAATGGTAGGACTACATCTTCAGACGAATGATGGTGTTTTTGTCTAGCATGTCCTATGTTTCAATGTTTCAATGATACAAGAAATGGCCCCCGAAACACATGCAGGGTACCGATAATCTCTGTGGCTGAGTGATCACTTCCCTTGGACTTGCACCGGCAATCCTGGCTGTACTTTGTTGCGTAATGCTGGTCCTCACTTGGGACTCCATTTTGTGACCGGGGTAGGGACTGACCATTGATATCCTGGGTGTTGGGGGCCTGGGATTTTATCGAAAAAAATATTGTCCGCGAAAATGCTTGAAAAAAATAATTCTTCTTCTGACTGTTGAAAAAAGAAATTTCAGCCACAAAATACACATTGTTGCAAGATGGGTTGTTTTTGTTTTGTTTTTAAATTAGATATTTAGGCTCATTGTTTAAATAACAAAATATCTGATTTTGAAGCTGCAGCTAAAAAAAATGTCTTGCCTCCATAAAAAATCCCAGATAGCAAATGGGATAGCTCATGACACATATTAACTACAAAGGACGATAACTCCTTGATTGACTCCATACAAACAAATGAAATGGTTTGGAGAGGGACGTTTTGATGCAACAGGCATGACCGATTCAATAGCTGTGAAACACAGTTTTAAATACTCATATTAGAGAGTAATTCCTACCCTTTGTATGACATTGGGGTGCAGACGTTACAGTGTCGTCAAGCCAGATTTACCAAGCGTAACTAACTTTTATGTAAACACGAAGCAACATAACGGCGCAGCACCTATATATATATATATATGTAAGCGTTATAAAAGTATGGAACACACCGAAACAGTTCTGGCTAATACCACATTCAAAAGTACATGTACATGTACTCTATTCTTTCTCTCACACATGAAATCAATAAATCAACCTTTCAAACATACAACACTTCACTCGTAGAGAATTGAGAAATACTTGATTCGATTAGATAAGTTACTTTATGAATTTTTATACTAAATTCTGAACTGAAATTCACTAAAACTGATTCATTGATGATATACATTTGGGTTAGATATAATCATTTAGGTTGAATTGACTGGTTATACTTTATATCCAAACATTAAGAACATAGCAAGTAAATCTGTACGTGCACACTTATGAACCAGTGTGAAAGATTACACCAACCTGTAAATTATTATAATCTTCGAGGAGATCCAAATCTGGAAACAGTCTTTCTGGTGCAAAAGTTAAATGGATAGTGTGGATTTAAATTAGGAAAGAGACATGACATAAGCTCACTTGACTTTCAGTCAGGTGAGCTAAAATGCAAAATATATCTCACTATACATTATTAAACATCAAGATCATTTGAATTAGAATTTGTAATTGTGAATGTATTCAGTTGAAAGCAAGATTTAACACAGCTCTTCAAGAGAAAAAGAGCTATAGTTCGCCTCTACAATGTTAGCCTTCACTTTGAGAATATCCTGTCAATACAGTCAGGTATACACTCTAATTCCACAAACTGTTAGCACTAGTATGCTGGTGGTACCAGTAAATGTAATACCATCATTGATTGGAGCTGTGGTTGCTCTGCCACTGTGAGAAGGACTTGAGAACGCAGTCGTAGTCTGGTCAGTTGCACCGGTTGTCTGTGACACTATGTTTGATGAACTTGTCTCCATTGTACTAGTATGATTTGTCTCCTTGTGATGATTGGCAAAAGTTTGTTTGACCAAATTGAGCAAAGGAAAGGGCCCTTTCTTGCAGTAGTTCTTGGCGTCGTCATAGCTTAGCTCCCAAAACATGACTCCCCCAAGATGTTCATCAATAACGTACTGGACCTGGAGTTATACAATACGAGTAATGTTATTTCTGCAGTTATATGTCGAGAGTTAAATCGTCGATAGTTAGACCGTGTGCCATAAAATATATTATGATCATGGCTTTGTGCTATGATAGTTTCGATACCATGTTATAAATATTCTTTGAACAAATAGCACGAATGTTTAATGAGAACACGTAAAATATGTATCGCATATTACTTTCATTCATGATCAATAACAACTTAACTTTCAGTACATAATACATTCTATTTTCAGTCCACACCCCATACTACCTTCAGTCCTCACCCCACACTACCTTCAGTCTAAACCCCAAACTACCTTCAGTCCACACCCCACACTACCTTCAGTCTAAACCCCAAACTACCTGCAGTCCACACCCCATACTACCTGCAGTTCACACCCCATTCTACCTTCAGTCCACACCCCACACTACCTTCAGTCCACTACCCACACTACCTGCAGTCCATTACCCACACTACGTGCAGTCCACACCCACTACCTTCAATCTGCGACCCACACTACCTGCAGTCCACGACCCTCACTACTCACAGTCCACATCCCACACTACCTGCAATCCATTACCCACACTACCTTCAATCCACACCCCACACTACCTGCAGTCCACACCCAACAATACCTTCAGTCCACACCCCACTCTACCTGCAGTCCACACCCCACACTACCTGGAGCCCAGACCCCACTCTACCTGCTGTCCAAACCCCACAATACCCGGGAAGATCCGGGGTAGAATAGGTCTTCAGCAACCCATGCTTGCTGTAAAAGGCGACTATGCTTGTCGTAAAAGGCGACTAACGGGATCGGGTGGTCAGGCTCGCTGTCTTGGTTGAAGCATGTCATCGATCCCAATTGCGTGGGTCGATGCTCATGATATCAATCACTGGATTGTCTGGTCCAGACTCGATTAGTTACAGACAGCCGACATATGGATGGGATATAGCCGAGTGCGGCGTAAAACAACAAACCGACCACAAAACTAACCAACCACACCCAACACTACCTGCAGTCCATTAACCACACTACCTTCAGTCCACACCGCAAACTACCTTCAATCCACACACCACACTACCTGCAGTTCACAACCCACACTACCTGCAGTTCACACTCCACACTTCCTGCAGTTCACACCCCACAATACCTTCAGTCCACACCCCACAATACCTTCAGTCCACACCACACACTCCCTGCAGTCCACATCCCACACAACCTGCAGTCCACGACCCACACTACCTGCAGTCCACACCCCATTCTACCTTCAGTCCACACCCCAAACTACCTACAGTACACACCCCACACTGCCTTCAGTCCACACCCAACACTATCTGCAGTCCATTACCCCACACTACCTGCAGTCCACACCCCACACAACCTGCAGTCCACACCCCATACTACCTTCAGTCCACACCCCACAATACCTTCAGTCCGCACCCCATTCTACATTCAGTCCACACCCCACACTACCTGCAGTACACACCCCACACTACCTGCACTCCACACCCCACATTACCTTCAGTCCACACCCCACACTACCTTCAGTCCACACCCCATTCTACCTTCAGTCCAAACCCCACATTACCTGCAGTCCACTACCCACACTACCTGCAGTCCACACCCCACAATGCCTTGAGTCCATACCCCACACTACCTTCAGTCTACACCCCACACTACCTTCAGTCTATACCCCACACTACCTGCAGTCCATACCCAATTCTACCTTCAGTCCACACCCCACACTACCTGCAGTCCACACCCCACACTACCTGCAGTCCACACCCCACACTACCTTCAGTCCTCACCCCACACTACCTGCAGTCCACACCCCACACTACCTGCAGTCCACACCCAATACTACCTTCTGCCCATAACCCTCTTTACCGTTATTCCACAACTCATTTGACCTTCAGTCTATTACTTTTTTTACCATCTTCCCACAACCCACTCCACCTGCAGTCCATAACCCACAGTACCTGCTGTTCATAACCCACTTTACCTGCGCAGTCCATAACCCACTCACCCTGCAGTCAATAATTCTACCTGTAGTTAACCCCCTTTACCTTGATTCTGCAACCCACTCCACCTGCGTTTTAGACCTTCTTTACCATCTTGACACAATCCATGCTACCGTCAGTCCATAACCCACTTTCCGTCCACAACCTTCTTTACCGTCAGCCAACAACCCTTTTTACCGTCAGTCCACAACCTTCTTTACCGTCAGTCCACAACCTTCTTTCCCGTCAGTCCACAACTTTCTTTACTGTTAGTCCACAACCCTCTTTACCGTCAGTCAATAACCTTCTTTACCGTCAGACAACAACCTTCTTTACCGTCAGTCCACAACCTTCTTTTCCATCATTCCAAAACCCTTTTTACCGTCAGTGCAAATACCCACTTTGCCTTCAGTCCTTAACCAATCTAAAAACATCACTTATGCTGCTATTTTACCTTGAAGTCAAAGCTCTGACTGTCATCGTACCCCACCCACTGGTCGCCGCTGTAGGCGTAGGGCACCAGCTGCTCCTCGTCCCAAACTCGAGTCCAGCCCGTCTTGAAGGACACGCAGATCTTGCAAATATAAACCATAAGGCTTCAGATCACTTAGTATTTGAACTTCAAACAACAAACAACACTCTGTCTATAGTTCAGTTAATATGTTTTAGAGAGGGACGTCTATCCTCTATCCTCGAGAACATCACATCAGAAACTGATTTATTATGATAACAGGAAATGAAGCACTTGAGAAGAATTAGGATGAAGGTTTTTGGCGCGATCCGTCGTTAGTACTTTGATATATTTGTTTTTGTGAACTATACTGAGTCAAATTAAAAACTTCACATTTTTAAAAGTAATCCCATGTATGATATACAACGGACAAATGTATCAGAGAAGGTAATTTTTAATCATTAATGTCCAAAGAAGGATTTTAATTAACGTAGGTAACCAAAATTTGTTCCAAGCACCTACGGTATTCGGTAATAACATCAACAGTTTAAATCATAAGTCCCAAGCACGAGAATCTGATGGCACACAAGTTCAGTAGCGTGTATGGCTACGATGTGCGTTGACAACTGCCTCACAACGCCTCCGCATGGACCTTGTGATGCTTGTGAACACATGATTGGAAAGACGACGCCATTGTTGCTGCAAAATGGTGCCAAGGTCTTGCAAATTCTGTGGTTTGTTCTGGAGAGTGCGCAGACTTCTGCCAAGAGCATCCCAGACGTGTTCGATGGGATTGAGGTCAGGAGACCTTGACGGCCAGTCCATGACGTTGACTCCCGCATTCTGAAGGAAATTCCTTGTCAAAATTGCTGTGTGGGGTCTGGCATTTTCGTGTTGGAAGATCAAACCGGGTCCATGTGCTGCCATAAAAAGCAGAAGTTCTGGTGCCAGTACCTGGACGCGGTAAGCAGCAGAGGTTGCGGTTGCCACGGATGACAAGAAGCCTGGAACGTGCATTGCCACAGAAAGCACCCCACGCCATGACACTTCCGCCTCGAAATCTGTCAACTTCCTGTACACAACACTGGGCGTAACGTTCATGACGGCGCCTCCACACCCTCGCCCTACCATCAGCAAATCGAAGATAAAATCGGGATTCATCACTGAAGACGACTTGATTCCAATTCCTCTGAGTCCATCGTAAGTGTCGCTGTGCCCACGATTGACGTTGACGTCTGTGTAATTGAGTCAGAATCGGCCCGCAGTATGGCCGTCGTGCTTGAAGGTGAGCAGTTCTCAGACGGTTTCGAACAGTTTGCGCACTCAGTCTACCCCTAAACAGTTCATTTCTGGTTGATGTAGCCGTCAAAAATCGGTTACGGAAGTGACGTAAGACAATCTGACGATCCTCTGCATGTGACGTCACACGTGGTCGACCTGGCCGAGGGCGATCAGCGGTGGTACCCGTTTGCTGAAGACGCGTCTGTAAATCATAAACAGTCCGTCGACTACAACCCATCGTCCTTGCGACTTCAGCTACGGACGTTCCCGTCTGCAACATGCCTATGGCACGTTCACGTTGCACATTTGAAAGGCGTGGCATGACAAATGGCCGTAAGGACTTTTGTTTTCTTGTGTTTTTCTTTTTTTGTTATTGACTGCTAACAAGTATGGCTGAAAACACGTGCGGTATTATGGCCACGTGCCAGTTGCACGTGAAAAAACACTTTTGTCACTACAGTGCTGTGCACATGATTTTCATCGATTCACCTGCACAAAAACGGGTGTTATCTGGAGACAATACGTGGCCATTACTGTTTAAATACACAATAAGGGCCCACAATGATAACTGGTCAAAATGTTAAAATTTTAGGATTGTGGAGTTTTTAATTTGGTTCAGTATATTACCACTAGAAGTAGCGGTAGCGGAAGCAGTAGCAGTAGCAGCAGGGGCAGTAGTCATATTAGTAGAAGCAATGCATAATCAATCATAAGAGTTTTAAGAAATTCATATAATTTTCACAGCTATTTTTGCCCTTAGTATCTTGCAATGACGTTTCCTACTTACAAACGCAGATAGATATATTTACCTCTGGATAGATAAGTCTGCCTGTTTTCTTATAGAGAGGACCGGGGCGCCCTCCTCCGACTATGACAGGGGACCCGACGTTATGATCGCTAATGTTGCTGAGTGTGAAGCTAGCTCCTGCACCCGTCATCCCCATGATCACCTTGCTCCTGTCCGCACCCCCATTGATCCACACGTTCAGGGCGTATTGCTGGAGTTATTGACATTTATGTTGAAAACTCAAAGACAAAATATAAAAAGCCACTGGTATTCAAGATGAATCGAAAGGCTTTTTAAAATAATTAAACACTTGTTCAGCTGACTGAAAGTCAAGTAAGCTCGTGTCGTGGCGCAATCTTTGTCAGTGTGTCCGTCCGTCGTTAACTTTTGAATTTTCGGCATCTCCTCTCATACTACCAGGCTCAAAGAATTCCGAAAATATCATTTTTGGCCATAACTCATCATATATACATGTATTATTGTTAAATTGAATGTGCAGAAAGTACATGTAGGTGCTTTTCGAAATAAAATATGATACATTTTTCTGGCATTGTTTTTATCCAGTTACGACCTTTGACTTTCAAGTACCCACATGTATCTGGTGTATTTGCATTTTCGAAACTACACTCTGAGGAGGAGATGTGAAAAGGACTTTACGGTCGCGTTCAAGATGGTGGCACTTACACACAAGGCCTATGGAGCTGAAACCTTGTATGAATGATCGGTCATCTTTCTGCAAAATGTATTGGAATTTGGCAGAGGTGAAGTTAGTAGTGAGGGCTATCATGTCTGTTTCAAATTTTGCACAATTATGAATTTCATTAAATTATCTGCACACAGTTTGGTGCAATTGGAAAAAGTAGGTTTTCGCATATAGCTGCCATGGCAACCAAAAGCAATGGGAAGGGCTGCCGGTAGGTTCATCCAGACAAAGTTTCACCACCATACATTTTAGATATATGAGAAAATAGCGAAACTAGTTGAAGAAGGACAAACCTGTCCATGGATGGCAGGCCAGCAATTTTGCGGATTTAAATAGTGTGTCATTTACCCCTTGACTGGTCAAATCCTTAAACAGACATTGCTTAGGGACATAGAGAACGTCAAAAGCGGGTCTCTTGCTTGTGATGCACTACCTAAATGACCATGTGATCCCTAGTAAGGCCGGCACTGACCTTTGCAGTGGAAAGAGTTTTGCCATTTAGCATACTTTTGAATATCTTCTCCTTTCATAATGATTGACTGATGAAGCTGAAAGTTGGCAGGCAAGTTCCTTGTTTTGTACAATGTTTTGTACTGCAAGAGTGAGTGAGTATGGTTTTACGCCGCTTTTAGCAATATTCCAGCAATATCACGGCGGGGGACACCAGAAATGGGCTTGTACTGCAAGAAATATTCCTTATTGTCGGAATAGCTTGTTTCACTTTATATTTTTTATAACACATTCAGCTAACCGCGTAATTAATAACCACAATGTTTCGTGATTCTATTTCAAGTTTTAAGGACTATAAGCCATATAGTGACTGAGAAGCCTTGACATGTTGACAATAGGCAAGCATTTCATGAAAATATTTCGGGTACTGACCACATTATAAATTTTCGAGAAGCGAGTGTCGTTCCTGGCATAGAGGGGGCTGTTAAATCCAGTGACAGTGCTCCAACTTCCGGAAAAATCGTACGTCATTACGAAAATGAAGTCCACATTCCTGAAAAGCAGCAGTCGTTAATAGCGTGTAAAGCATTCCCTTTTACAATTACATAATAATTATACTGAATATTACGAAGTAACGACAACAAGCTTCAAAAGTATTGCACTTACATGGCGACGTGCAAGTGTGGCTGCTTGTACTAGTCCGGACGTAGGACGTTTTGAATGTGCAAGCCCACCCAGGTACCATGCCGTAGTTTAACATGGATATCCCATTCAGACACAGCATACTGATTCGAGCCAACCAGTCATTATTTTATCCCTTTAACGCCGAAAAAGCACCATCTTTTAACGGACCGACGGGCGGGCGGGCGGACAGACAGACAGACAGGCAGACAAATAGATTGATTATATTAAAGAAGATAGTGAATAAAAAAATTAGCTTTAGATTATATATGTTAGCTTTACTAGCGTCCACTATATATAAATGTTAGACCTCTATATGTTGTCAAACGCTACAGTTATAAATGTTAGCTTTACTAGCGTCCACTAGATCACGGAGGCAGTCAGATTATATAAAGAATGTCACCGGGTTTTAAAACGTGTCTAGTCACGGTCTAATCTCCAGCGATTTAATGGTCCACTTTTATCATGTTTTGGTTTCAATATGTTATGTCATAGATGTTTGCTTCCTTATTCATGTGTTGAAAATGATTTTGTAACTTTGATTTTCACGCACTAGCAGGATTATCTGGTACATTGTACTTGTAGATATTTCTCATGTATTTATGGTCATTCTTGCCACCTATATAATTGTACCTATCGGGTAGTGGTACCCGCCGCTATTAGCTGTGCAGAGTTGCGTCCCCTGGGCAGACTAGAAACCTATGATTGTGGGTTCGAATCCCGGTTCGCCCCGATTATGTTTCTCGGTTTGTCAGCACCATATCCGTGCTCGTGGGTTTCACCTGAGTGGTAAATGTCTGAGACCTGCATCGCTTCACATTAAGCTGACACGCCGCGATATAACTGGAATACTGTTCAAAGCGGCGTTAAACCCAACTCACTCACTCACTTTAGTGGTACCGTCTTGTCAATATAGGTTTTTGATCCTTCATATTGTCGTCTATTGTTACAATTAGCTGATACTAATAAACCTGTGGGATGTACTACCACGTTTTCATTTTTTCTATATTCTTGGTTAATGACACCCTTGTCACTGACAATCAAACTGTCATTTTGTTCATATTTCATACATATTTGATTATTGTTGTTCATGCAAACGCAAAAACTGTTGAAACGAATGGGTTTTGTATCTATTCTGTGTGAGTGAGTGGACAGTTACGCCGCTTTGAACATTATTCCAGTTATATCACGGCGTGACAGCTTACTGTGATGGAAAGACCGAAGTGATGAAGGTCTCAGACGTTTATAATCGAGGCGAACCGGGCTTCGAACCCACGATAGGGACACAATTCAGCACGGTAAATTGCGGCGCCTTAGACGACCGGGGCAACTCGTGACAAAAACGAAAATAGTTGTGCATTTTGCGTTGTACAATACTCACGCACTGACTGCCTTGATGTCATAGCCGGCTTTTATCTTATCTTCACCTGCGGCAACTGCTGTGGTCAACAACAGTGGCTCCCTATTCGTCGCCTCCTTAGTAAACTCTTGTCGCAAAATCTAAACGAAATATACGAAACAACACGCTTTACCAAATGACAACAAACCTGTATGATATCAATGTCAAAACCTATTTCCTCCATAGTCGATGTTGTCAAACGCCATAGTTATGTCACAACCGCCCCTTGTCATGACCTCTATATGTTGTTAAACGCCACAGTTATGTCACAATCGCCCCTTTTCAGGACCTCTATATGTTGTCTAACGCCTCAGTTATATCACAACCGCCCCTTGTAAGGACCTCTATATGTTGTTAAACGCCACAGTTATGTCACAACCGCCCCTTGTCAGGACCTCTATATGTTGTCTAACGCCACAGTTGTGTCACAACCGCCCCTTGTAAGGACCTCTATATGTTGCCTAACGCCACGGTTATGTCACAACCGCCTCTAGTCAGGACCTCTATATGTTGTCTAACGCCACAGTTATGTCACAACCGCCTCTAGTCAGGACCTCTTTATGTTGTCTAACGCCACAGATTGTGACGGCGACCTCTAGTCAGGACCTCTATATGTTGTCTTACGCCACAGTTATGTCATAACCGCCTCTAGTCAAGACCTCTATATGTTGTCTAACGCCACCGCTATGTCACAACCGCATCTAGTCCCGCCTCTAGTAAGGACCTCTATATGTTGTCTAACGCAACAGCTATGTCAGAACCGCCTCTAGTAAGGACCTCTATATGTTGTCTTACGCAACAGTTATGTCACAACCGCCTCTAGTCAGGACCTCTATATGTTGTCTAACGCCACGGTTATGTCACAACCGCCTCTAGTCAGGACCTCTATATGTTGTCTAACGCTACAGCTATGTGACGGCGACCTCTAGTCAGGACCTCTATATGTTGTCTAAGGCTACAGCTATGTGACGACCGCCTCTTGTCAGGATCTCTTTATGTTGTCTAACGCTACAGCTATGTGACGGCGACCTCTAGTCAGGACCTCTATATGTTGTCTAAGGCTACAGCTATGTGACGGCGGCCTCTTGTCAGGGCCCCTATTTGTTGTCTAACGCCACAGCTATGTGACGGTGGCCTCTAGTAAGGACCTCTATATGTTGTCTAACGCCACAGCTATGTCACAACCGCCTCTAGTCAGGACCTCTATATGTTGTCTAACGCCACAGTTATGTCACAACCGCCTCTAGTCAGGACCTCTATATGTTGTCTGACGCTACAGCTATGTGACGGCTACCTCTTGTCAGGACCTATATATCTTGTCTAACGCTACAGCTATGTGACGGCGGCCTCTTGTCAGGGCCCCTATTTGTTGTCTAACGCCACAGCTATGTGACGGTGGCCTCTAGTCAGGACCTCTATATGTTGTCTAACGCCACAGCTATGTGACGGCGACCACAGTCAGGACCTCTATATGTTGTCTAACGCTACAGATTGTGACAGCGGCCTCTAGTCAGGATCTCTATATGTTCTCTAACGCTACGGATTGTGACGGCGGCCTCTAGTCAGACCCCATATATGTTGTCTAACGCCACAGCTATGTAACGGCGACCTCTAGTCAGGACCTCTATATGTTGTCTAACGCTACAGATTGTGACGGCGGCCTCTTGTCAGGATCTCTATATGTTGTCTAACGCTATAGCTATGTGACGGCGGCCTCTAGTCAGGCCCCCTATATGTTGTCTAACGCCACAGCTATGTAACGGCGACCTCTAGTCAGGACCTCTACATGTTGTCTAACGCTACGGATTGTGACGGTGGCCTCTAGTCAAGATCTCTATATGTTGTCTAACGCTACAGCTATGTGACGGCGGCCTCTTGTCAGGGCCCCTATTTGTTGTCTAACGCCACAGCTATGTGACGGTGGCCTCTAGTCAGGACCTCTATATGTTGTCTAACGCCACAGTTATGTCACAACCGCCTCTAGCCAGGACCTCTATATGTTGTCTAACGCAACAGCTATGTCACAACCGCCTCTAATAAGGACCTCTATATGTTGTCTAACGCCACAGCTATGTAACGGCTACCTCTAGTCAGGACCTATATATGTTGTCTAAGGCTACAGCTATGTGACGACCGCCTCTTGTCAGGATCTCTTTATGTTGTCTAACGCTACAGCTATGTGACGGCGGCCTCTTGTCAGGGCCCCTATTTGTTGTCTAACGCCACAGCTATGTGACGGCCGCCTCTAGTAAGGACCTCTATATGTTGTCTAACACCACAGCTATGTGACGGCGACCACAGTCAGGACCTCTATATGTTGTCTAACGCTACAGATTGTGACAGCGGCCTCTAGTCAGGATCTCTATATGTTCTCTAACGCTACGGATTGTGACGGCGGCCTCTAGTCAGACCCCCTATATGTTGTCTAACGCCACAGCTATGTGACGGCGGCCTCTAGTCAGGACCTCTATATGTTGTCTAACGCTATAGCTATGTGACGGCGGCCTCTAGTCAGGCCCCCTATATGTTGTCTAACGCCACAGCTATGTGACGGCGGCCTCTAGTCAGGATCTCTATATTTTCTCTAACGCTATAGCTATGTGACGGCGGCCTCTAGTCAGGCCCCCTATATGTTGTCTAACGCCACAGCTATGTAACGGCGACCTCTAGTCAGGACCTCTATATGTTGTCTAACGCTACGGATTGTGACGGTGGCCTCTAGTCAAGATCTCTATATGTTGTCTAATGCCACAGCTATGTGACGGCGACCTCTAGTCAGGACCTCTATATGTTGTCTAACGCTACGGATTGTGTCGGCGAGCTCTAGTCAGGACCTCTATATGTTGTCTAACGCTACGGATTGTGACGGCGGCCTCTAGTCAGGGCCCCTATATGTTGTCTAACGCTACAGCTATGTGACGGCCGCCTCTTGTCAGGCCCCCTTTATGTTGTCTAACGCCACAGCTATGTGACGGTGGCCTCTAGTCAGGACCTCTATATGTTGTCTAACGCTACAGATTCTGACGGCGGCCTCTAGTCAGGACCTCTATATGTTGTCTAACGCTACAGCCATGTGACGGCGGCCTCTAGTCAGGACCTCTATATGTTGTCTAACGCCACAGCTATGTGACGGCGGCCTCTAGTCAGGACCCCTATATGTTGTCTAACGCTACAGCTATGTGACGGCGGCCTCTAGTCAGGACCCCTATATGTTGGTAAACGCAACAGCTATGTGGCGGCGACCTCTAATCAAAAACAGATCAACCAGTGATTGAAAACAACATGCATGTCATACGTGAACGATGACAAGCAATCAGCCCAGAGCTAGAACCAGAACCAGAGCTAGAACCAGAACCAGAACCAGAGCTAGAACCAGAACCAGAACCAGAGCTAGAACCAGAGCCAGAGCCAGGGCCAGGGCCAGAGCACCCGATCCAATTAGTCGCTTGTTGCGAATAATAGGTTACCGAGAACCTGATTTCAGGAAGCCCATTATTACAAAAACGTTTATCACGTGCGTGTTGAAATTAATGATATTCCATGAGTGAGTTGGGAATAACGACAGTGTTCAGGTGCAAAGCCTCAAGTTCACCAGTAACCGCGGGTATGGTGCGGGCAAACCAAGAATCATAATCAGGGCCCATCTGGGATTTAAAACCACCATCAAATGACGCACGGCGAATAGTGGTACCTTGGACGACACAGCAACTCGTCGCCAATCAACGTGTTTTTAAGCAATAGTAATTAAGCAATAGTAAACCCATTAATATCCGATTTAGAATTGATGTTAAGCAACCAATGTTTGTCGTCAGAGGCGGCCAACGGGATCGGGTGCTGAGTGCAGCTTTAAACAACAAACAAACAAAGCAATGGTGTTTTGATGACCAAGGTGTTTTATTTGTTTGTTTGTTGTTTAGCGCCGCTCTCAACATTATTCCAGATTTATGACGGCGGTATATAAATAATCGAGTCTGAACCAGACAATCCAGTTATTGACGTCATGAGCTTCGATCGATGGGATACGATGACAAGCATCAACCAAGTCAGTGAGCCTGACCACCCGATTCCATTAGTCGCTTCTTACGACAAGCATGGGTTCTAACCCGGACCTTCAAGGGTTGACCAGCCAGTGATCGGATCTATAATGACTTGTGCCATTTTTGTCTGCGAGGAACTTCTGTTCATTAATTAAGTAAGTGAGTGAGTGAGTATGGTTTTACGCCGCTTTTAGCAATATTCCAGCAATATCACGGCGGGGGACACCAGAAATGGGCTTCACACATTGTACTTGAACCACTTGGCTACCCGACCGCCCCTCATTAATTAAGACAGGTGTTTACCTTGAGAAAATCTGTAAAATTCTGTTTTGTTTTAGCAGTGGGGTACTCCCAGTCAACATCTAATCCATCAAAACCATACTTCCTCAAGAATGTGATAGTATTTAGAGCAAACTGTTGAAAGGAAGACGACGAGGCTGACAGTTGGGAAAACTCATTCGCTGAACCCTCACCGCCAACTGACAACAGGGTCTTCAGGTTTGAATTCTTCGATTTGAGATGGTTAAAGTTCTCATATTCATGAGCTGGGTCTATTGCAGCTATGGTCTTGGCCTGCACATCCAGTTTTGCAAAGGCGTAGATCAGATGTGTGCACAGATCAGGATCAGTGTCCTCCACTGGAAGACGAACTTGGGTATTGGAGGTTTGAGCAGACCAGCTGGTGAAATAACAGGCTGTGATGAAGCCAGCAACTGAAAATGAGGAAATAATGGCTTAAGATTTCTGTGGATGCGAATTGATTTGCGTTCATTCAGTTGATACATCTTTCATTTGAAGAAAACACAATCATAGCTTGTGTGAGTTATTGGGAACACCTTATATCATGTAAATGGTTATTTGGGGAGGGATCTTTTATACCTATTAAAGTAAAGCTAACTAGTATAATATCAATTATCAAACCTCAATGTCAGAATTTATGAGATCTGATTGGTCCGCGTTATCTTGATAACATACTGTGTATCCCGCCTTGGAGGGGAATAAATTACTCAGCAGGAGAATAAATCTCTTACACCTCGCCGCGAGCATGTCTGGCTGCCCGTGGATTTGTGTTTGTTTGTTTGTTTGTTTGTTGTTTGTCAGCAATATTCCAGCTATATGACGGCGGTCTGTAAATAATCGAGTCTCGCCTTTTACGGCAAACATGGGTTGCTGAAGACCTATTCTACCCCGGATCTTCACGGGTCCGTGGATTTGTGAGAGGCAGAATAAATCCTTTATATCCCGCTTCAAAGCAAAAAGCGCACGCTTTTTTCCGTGTCAGCGGAAGTCATGTGACATAGCGCAAGCTAACCTCAGCTCAATCGAACATCAATTTTGAATTTGTTTGAATTATTTTACAATGTCATATTAAAACATGTCGGTAAGATAAATTCGTTGTTGCAGCATCAATCGGGGTACATCGGGTTTTATGCGCCCCCGTTAGGTTTCATACCACGAGCCGGGGGGTAACAACAAGTACCATCTTTTTTGGTGAGGTGAAATAGGATTACACGTCACGTCCAAGATTATTGCACTTGTATAGCGACGTGCATGCACGTGCATGTGTGTGTGTGGCTGCTTGTACTAGTTCGGACTGATGGTAGCTCACTGAGATACCATGCCATGGTTTAATTTGAATACCCCACTCAGACACAGTATACTGACTCCGAGCCGACCAGTCCTTGTTTTAGCTCCTTAATGCCGAGCGCCAGACTGAGTTAAAACAAATACCATCTTTTAACGTCTTTTGGTATGACGCGGCCGGGGATCGAACCCCGGACATTCCGCTCTCCCCGGGGCTACCTCTACCACTAGACCACGGAGGCGGACAAAAGTCGTAAGAAAAGGCTAAACTGGAATATGCAAAATGAGATTCGATACTACAAATTAGCATGACTATTTCATCATGCAACTTACAACTTCAATAACACGGTCATTGTGACAATCATGGTGATCAAATCTTAGAGACCCTCCAGATTACCATAATCATGAATGAAAGTGTTAGTTACATATGTCTCGTCGTTTCTTCGGAGATGTCAAAAAATTAAAGTTCACAGACATATAAATGAATAGACGGACGGCAAACAACTGGCCACGTCATTAGCTCACCGGAACTTAATGTTCGGATCTGGAATGTTGTCATGTAGTTTAGAGACCGTCAATACCTCACCTTTGCAGTTTTCTGGCACTGACATCAGCATCAAGGCTGTCAGCAGGTAGATAGTGGCCATGGTTACGCTTTGAAAAGTAATGAATTAGACACTTTATTTTGCAACATCAATGTGACACATTGCGATACCATGTTTATATTCGCTAGAAGAAAATTGTCCTGGGATTAGTCAATTAGTCTCATTAGTTTTACATCAAAGTACCACAGTGAGGGACGTTTACACAGCTGGTAACAGTATGTCGGCAAGGGAGGGGTAAAGTTCACACACTGTACTCATATCGGTAAAGCCACTTGCTAGATTACAATTCCAGCGACCCTTGTCAAAATAGTTTTTACGTTTTTTAAAGTTTGAGGAGAGTAGTACAAGATGCAGGTCTTTGACGTTTGTGACGTAGGGTACCTGGGAGTTTGAATTGTGGCCAAATATTTCTTTAATTACAACAATGAGAGAGAGAAATCCACACCCCACACCCCACACCCCACACCCCACGCCGAATATCGAATGGTCGGCCAGTAGTGTGAGCGATGAGCGATAACATCTCAATCTGCCGAGTCACACATTGTGACCCATCACTGTACAAATTAAAACTGAAAGGGTATCCCGCAACTCCGGGTACGCCGATCTTTTGTTTTCCCTGACCTATGAATGTTGTACTTACCTCCTGCAGAGTCAAGTAATCATACCTATCTGATTACACGAAGCTTTAAATACAACGTAACAGGAAGTTATTTTCAGTCCTTTCCTGGACATGACGCTCGCATATCAGTTTAGGATTTCAACATGACCCATGCGCAAAACAAGTCGTGACGATGAGTCATATCAAACTGGAACACGATCTTTCATATCTGATAAATGATTTTTTTTTCATTTAAATATGCTGATATACATTGGACATATTTTTAAAGTTCAAGGCTTGGCCGATTACGACATTAAAGTGGGCGAGGGTTGTATTAGACCGAATTATGCAATAATGCAATGTCCTAAATACATGCTGGTGGCCTGTAAACAATAGACGATCAGTGAGTGAGTGAGTGAGTGAGTGAGTGAATACTCGTATAGCAATATCACGACGGGGGACACCAGAAATGGGCGTCACTCATTGCACCTTGTGGAGAGTCGAACCTAGGTCTTCGGAGTGCCAAGCGAACGCTTTAACCACTAGGCTACCCCACCGCCTCCATTAGGGTACGATGATCCACAATCAGTCACGTCACACATTTTAACCACCCAATACTCAATTTAGTCGGATACGACGTGCATTAGATACCGGGGACTAACAAAAACCAGGCACACAATATTTATGGGTATTCAGATTTGCGGGTGTTATTGAGTATTCGATGCCCGGATATTGCATTTGAAACCGACAGTGGTGACCGAAGGTTTCAAATGCTAACATTTGAGAAGAAAAAGATACATACCAAGAAAAGTATTCATGCGCAGTGAAAAGTCCGAAAGTTTTCCGGTATCCAATCCCAATCCCATCCAACGTTATTCAACCATAAGCTTGCAGCACACACTCTCATTCATTTTACAGTGGTGTATCATCAGGTCATCATACTTACGTTTGATGGTTTGTCTGCTCCGATTATACATGGTGGCCAACCACCAACTCTTTTCAAATAATGCGATGAGAACTCGTGAAAGTTGGTCGAAGGGTTCATAAAATCCTTAATTGTGCTTATGCTGTCGTTGATTGTTGTTTGACGACGCACTCAGTAACATTCCAGCGAAATAACTATGGTCGGAAAATATAATCGCGTGATTGACATCATGAGCATCGATTAACGCAAATGGAAAACGATGACATGTAAATCAACCAACCGAGCCTGACCACCAGATCCATTTTGTCGCTTCTTAAATTACGATAAGCATGGATTGCTAGTGATCTATGTTACCCGGGATCTCAACCGATGACTGCAACATACATCTCAAGGAAAAACCGTAGACAGAACTCTGGTTTTATGGAGAAAAAAATTAGCTTTGTTGCAAGTTTGATTTCCTAAAATTATCTCTAGGCTTATTTACAGCTATAGCTGTAAAAATATCTAGTCTCCTTACAAAATCCTCCCTCCCCTCCCCTCCCCTCCCCTCCCCTCCTCCCAAGAAATGGTTGGTGCCTTATATAGCTTGACAGGGTGGCATGGCGACAACAAGTACCATCTTTTGGTATAACGTGTCGGGGGATCGAAGCATCAACCTTCCGCTCTCCGGGCAGACATATTGAACATTGTCAACGATATACAAAATATTTAATACAGGTTCTGTTCACCACTTCGACGATATAGTAGACCACGGACCACATAGACCTTAAGACCTTATATAATAGCCCCAGTAAGAAATAGCAATGCTACATGTATTTCAAGCTATTTCTAAAATGTATCAGAGCATTTTTCATTTGAACTGAGAAGCCTTCGTTCCATCGGGCTGCACGTGGAACACATGTTCTCCGCGTTTGACGCGCGTGCACTCGGCTTTGAGGTCTTTGAAGTCTTCAAGACGCCAAGTCGGGACCCGTAAATCATTCTCTTCAAGACCTAAGCATTAATATTCTGTTTCTTCTTATTAGACGTATACCCCAGCAAGAAGAATTTCATATATTTCAAAAGGAACATTTTTACTTTAATCACATGATAACATAAGATATTTATAGATATGCTTGGTACGGATGTAAATATCAGTCTTTTGTGCATCACTAACCGTGTGTGCATTGTTACCGTGAAGCCTGTTGTCAGGGTTTAGCGACGGTAAAATGGGATATATATATATATGCGTACGTGCGTGCATTTCCATTCCATGACTATCCATCAATCTCATGGCGGCCATCTTGAAAGTTTCGGCTAGCAGGGGGCTCTGGTGACGGTGTTTCATATCTAATAGTGTTAACTCTGCTTCAGTGAGTGCCAAGTTATAATTATGCACATGAGTCCTAGCACAGCCTAACCTCATATTGAGAAAACATGTCGCCCATTTTGAATTTTGTAGGTTTGTCAATGGTCGAAAACGTTCAGTAGCTCTCATGAATATGTTTTTTCGAAACTTAGTATGGCTGTTTTGCAATAAAGCATATACTTTGGAAATACCTAACCTTACTTTGCCTTGACTATTTGCGGCGCTAATAGATGCCATGACGCAGTCTGACATGAATTCCTCAGTCAGATACATTATACAGAATCGGAGCCGGCCAGTCCTTGTTTTATCCTGTTACTGCCGATCGTTGGGCAGGGTAACAACAAGTACCATCTTTAGCTTATCTTTCTGTGACGGGGCCGGGGATCGAATTACCGACCAATCGCTCTCGGGGTAGACACTCTGTCCACACCATGAACGGGGGCTTCGCTACATGTATCAGCGGTCAGTGAAGTCTTGTCCAGGTACCCCAGTAGGAGCCACCGACACAGATCAGTAAAGTCGAGTGCTAAAAACAATGTCCGAAAAATAGGTATGTGTGATGTAAAATCAAATCATTCAAACCCTCAAGTCTCTGAATGTCCTGGAGCTGAGAAGAGTCTGAGTAAGAGATGACAAGGGGCTGAGTAAGAGGTGACAAGGGGCTGACTAAGAGGTGACAAGGGGCTGGATAAGAGAAAACAAGGGGCTGAGTATGAGGTGACAAGGGGCTCAATAAAAGAAAACAAGGGGCTGAATAAGAGGTGACAAGGGGCTGAGTAATAAAAGACAAGGGGCTGAGTAAGAGGTGACAAGGGGCTGAATAAGAGAAAACAAGGGGCTGAATAATAGAAGACAAGGGGCTGACTAAGAGGTGACAAGGGGCTGACTAAGAGGTGACAAGGGGCTGAATAAGACGTGACAAGGGGCTGAATAAGAGAAAACAAGGGGCTGACTAAAAGGTGACAAGGGGCTGAATAAGAGGTGACAAGGGGCTGAGTAATAAAAGACAAGGGACTGAGTAAGAGGTGACAAGGGGCTGAATAAGAGAAAACAAGGGGCTGATTAATAGAAGACAAGGGGCTAACTAAGAGAAGACAAAGGGCTGACTAAGAGGTGACAAGGGGCTGACCAAGAGGTGACAAGGGGCTGAGTAATAAAAGACAAGGGGCTGAGTAAGAGGTGACAAGGGGCTGAATAAGAGAAAACAAGGGGCTGAATAATAGAAGACAAGGGGCTGACTAAGAGGTGACAAGGGCTGACTAAGAGGTGACAAGGGGCTGACTAAGAGGTGACAAGGGGCTGTCTAAGAGGTGACAAGGGGCTGACTAAGAGGTGTTAAGGGGCTGACTAAGAGGTGTTAAGGGGCTGAATAAGAGGTGTTAAGGGGCTGAGTAATAGAAGACAATGGGCTGAATAAGAGGTGTTGAGGGGCTGAATAAGAGAAAACAAGGGGCTGAATAAGAGAAGACAAAGGGCTGACTAAGAGGTGACAAGGGGCTAACTAAGAGGTGACAAGGGGCTGAATAAGATAAGACAAGGGGCTGACTAAGAGGTGACAAGGGGCTGATTAAGAGGTGACAAGGGGCTGAGTAAGAGAAGACAAGGGGCTGACTAAGAGGTGACAAGGGCTGACTAAGAGGTGACAAGGGGCTGAATAAGAGAAGACAAGGGACTGACTAAGAGGTGACAAGGGCTGACTAAGAGGTGACAAGGGGCTGAATAAGAGAAAACAAGGGGCTGACAAAGAGAAAACAAGGGGCTAACTAAAAGGTGGCAAGGGGCTGAATAAGAGGTGACAAGGGGCTGAGTAATAAAAGACAAGGGACTGAGTAAGAGGTGACAAGGGGCTGACTGAGAGGTGACAAGGGGCTTACTAATAGGTGACAAGGGGCTGAATAATAGAAGACAAGGGGCTGACTAAGAGGTGACAAGGGGCTGACTGAGAGGTGACAAGGGGCTTACTAATAGGTGACAAGGGGCTGAATAATAGAAGACAAGGGGCAGACTAAGAGGTGACAAGGGGCTGACTAAGAGGCGACAAGGGGCTGAGTAATAGAAGACAAGGGGCTGAATAAGAGGTGACAAGGGGCTGAATAATAGAAGACAAGGGGCTGATTAAAAGGTGACAAGGGGCTTACTAATAGGTGACAAGGGGCTGACTAAGAGAAGACAAGGGGCTGACTAAGAGGTGACAAGGGGCTGAATAAGAGGTGACAAGGGGCTGAATAATAGAAGACAAGGGGCTGATTAAGAGGTGACAAGGGGCTTACTAATAGGTGACAAGGGGCTGACTAAGAGGTGACAAGGGGCTGACTGAGAGATGACAAGGGGCTTACTAATAGGTGACAAGGGGCTGAATAATAGAAGACAAGGGGCTGACACAGGGCTGAGTTAGAGAATACAAGGAGTTCGGTAAGAGATGACACGGGGCTGAGTCATAAAAGACAAGGGACTGAGTAAGGGAAGACAAGAGGTTCAGTAAGAGCACAGGGGGCTGTGTTATAGATGACAAGCTGTATGTTAAACAGGTACAGTACAGTGCCGAGGTGAAAAAAAATGAATGGTTGTGGAATGTGAAACATACTCAAATACCCAAGATGTGTGTTAATTAATAGTGAAAATGAATAGATTGTTTGATGGTGCTCAGTACATACATGGTTTGTTGGGTACAGCAGGGGGGAATATTGTTCTCAAATAATTCCACCCCCATCTCCACCAGCTACCCTATAAATCAAATGGATGCTCCCTGATTAATGTGTAGTTATCTTTGGTTCTCATTATGAGAGTTGCAATTGCCAGCAACAACACAAACTATTGATCAATTATTATTTAATAAGTTAATAATTACTGTAGAGTATTGTTTATTGTTTCTGATCCATCAAAGGTTCAGCAGTTGGGCAAAAAAATAGAAATCTAAACTACTTGTGTTATGTTCTGATTGTTCATTTTGTCAGTTATGTCCGCAAACCAAAAAATGACACTATACGCCTATTATCCTTGTTATGTTTCAACACAGAATCAAATACAAACAAATATTATTTCGAAAATTTTTATTCTTAAAACAAGCAGTTGACACATAAGAAGCTATGGCGAAAGTTAAACTAATTCGTGACAATATTCTTCTCATTTCTAATGTTAATGTTCTTCGTGCGCTTTATGATTTACGAAGCAAATGAAGCAGGGAAAATGTAAACATGTTTTATACCCTTATATTTGTCTCTATGGAGAGTTAAACTAGAAGGCTGCTACATAAATGCACTACGGAAACAGCGTGGGCAGTGTGTGGAAGTTCATCTGAACTGGAGCAAATATTTGCATCTTTATAGGGTAAGCGCTGTTGTTACAGAATGGGTGTCAATATCTCTTGACATTTTACAAACAAAGCGAAAATTGTTAAAACAACCTTTGTTGAGGATTTGTCACGCAATCTGTCACTTCTCAAACAATGTTACTACAGCATAACACATCGTGTGGTGCATGGGCAATTATCCCGACATTTCTTAGCAAATATTACAATATAGATATTTACGAACGTTTACAATTCTTTGATACAAATGAAATGACATGAGCCACACGCGGTCAAGAGTTAGTTCGAGAAAGCGTGGTTCGAGTAGCAAAATCCATAACCTTCACAAACAAATGTATTTGACTGAGTGAGTGAGTGTCTTGAATTTTACGCCACTTCTAGCAATGTTCCAGCAACATCACATTGCTTCCCACATTGTACCCATGTGACAAGTGAACGCTAAACCACTCGGCTACCCCACCACCCCAACACATGTAATAAGACTTCGTTATTCTGATGCTTTCTTTAATTATTTGTATCGAAAACAAAATTTCTAACGTATCTTACAACTACAAAGATATAAAAAAACAGTGTTCCAATCATCAATCGAAGTAATATAATTGTAGATAGTTCCAATAGCTAGTGCAAGGTATTGCCTCAATGCTAAGCTGTGTATACCTAAGTCGCTTGCTAATAAAGTAAAATGTATACAGTAATGTTAAACGATTAATGATACGATAACCAAACACATGTTTATGTACTCTTATTATAACTACTTCTTTAAAAAAACGAATGTGTTTCATTCATCCCATGTATGCACAACATGTCCCTTGCGCTACTAATTTCGGAGATGTCAACTAAAATCTACGTGTTATCTTTGTAAAACGGGGGGCGGTCGGGTAGCCTAGTGGTTAAAGCATTCGCTCTTTACGCCGAAGACCCGGTTTCGATTCCCGACAATGTGTGAAGCCCATTTCTGGTGTCCCCCGCCGTGATATTGCTGGAATATTGCTAAAAGCGGCGTAAAACCATACTCACTAATTTGTAAAACGGATTTTCCAGGAACGTCTCATTGATGAAATTAATCCAGAAAATTGTAATAAAATGTATCCAAATGTCTATCATTCTGACCAAAAGGGCAACATCTTGTATTTTCTTGATTCTGTTAGCCTCTGATGAAAGATTGCGTTTTACGTTCTTTTACATGATTTCTTTACATTTCTTAAAACACGGTTCTCATCTCCTTCACGTGTATTTCTGTTAGGGCAGGACATAAAATACATCATTTCATTTCATCCTTCTTCTTCATCCTCTTTCTTGTTTTGTTTAGTCTATTTTGTGTTTTGGAAATGCTGTAAGCCAAGCACGAGAAACACGATAATAATGAGTGACGCTCTAATTCATGTCCCTACATCTATTGATGGCATTATATATTCATAAGGATTCCACAAACGCACACTGTAACAATGAGTAGGTCGCTGATACATCTATAAGCGTGACTGGTAAGACTTGTTGCTCTGCCACCGTGAAATTGACTGATACGTTTGGTCATAACGACCGGTGTATTTGCGCCTGTTGTCTGTGGTACGTAGCTAGTGGAAGTGACCTCGCCAATATTTGCAAAAGTAATCTCCCCTGTACTTGTAGAAGTTGTCTCCCCTGTACTTGTAGAAGTAGGTTCACCTGTGCTTGTAGAAGTTGCCTTGGAAGTAAATGTTTCTTCAGCTACATCTGTGGTCGGTGGCATCTTGGTTGTGAAAAATATTTCCCAGTTCCTCACTGATGTTGCTCCCCACTTTGTAGTGAAGGGTGTCTCTTTTTTCTTCATTGTGACACTTTTTCTTGTAGGCGTTACCCATCTTGGCCGTGGAGAAGTTGCAGCCCTTGTTCTTGTAGAAGCTCTCTTTATTGTTGCCATGTATTGGTCAATTATCCCTTTAGATCTCCACACCTTTCGAGATGGTTCTCTCACCCGAGTTCTCGAGGAAGGTGCCTCTGTTGGACCTCTCACTCGTGTTCTTGAGGGATGTGCCTCTATCGGGCTTCTCACCCGTGTTCTTGAGGGAGATGCCTCTGTTGGACCTCTCACGCGTGTTCTTGAGGGATGTGCCTCTATCGGGCTTCTCACCCGTGTTCTTGAGGGAGATGCCTCTATCGGGCTTCTCATCCGAGTTCTCGGGGGAGATACCTCTGATTGACCTCTCACTCGTGTTCTTGGCGGAGATGTCTCTTTTGGACTTCTCACCCATGGTCTTGGTGGAGATGCCTTTATTGGGCCTCTATCCCATGTTCTTGGCGGAGATGTCACCGATCGGTCGGGCTCCCGTGTTCGTAGCGGATACGCCTCTATTGGGCCCCTCTCTCGTGTTTTTGGTGGAGATGTATCTATTGGACTACTGGCAAATTTATTCTTGACAACATTAAGCAAAGGATAGGACCCATTTTTGCAGTAGTTGTTTGGGTCGTCAAAACTGAGCTCCCAAAACATTACTCCTCCCAGCTGTTCCTCCACAGCATACTGAACCTGAAATCGTCGCAGATAGATATATTACCACATGTACTTCATACAACAGTCTTTAGACTCGTTTAACCATCACTTCATCAATTAAGTTTTCTATATTTCTGTATACTCGCTCGTTCAGTCTATACACTCACTTTACCGGCAGCCTTATGTCCACCTTCCCGTTTGTCTATAGACCCTGTTTCCCGACAAGCTTCAGGCCCACCTTCCCGTCAGTCTTATATACACATTACCGTCAGTCCATCGACCCTCTTTACCGGCAGTCTTATACCCACGTTACCGACAGTCTTATATCCATGTTACCGGCAGTCTTATACCCACGTTACCGACAGTCTTATATCCATGTTACCGGCAGTGTTATATCCACGTTACCGTCAGGTAATAGACCCACTTCACCGTCAGTCTTATGTCCACTTTACCGTCAATCGTATATCCACTTTACCGTCAATCGTATATCCTTTCCCTGTTATATACCAATTTCCTTTTTCCTTATCTCGACGTTTGATTAGCAGGTAAAATGTTAATTAATTGTTAGCGTAGTTTAACCAAAATGCGAGCAGGTTGATAAAGAGGATGTCAGTGGGCTAGCACAATAAAACTGACATTAGTCCGGAAAAGTAAAAGCAGCCACACTCACAAGTGCATGCACGTCGCTATACACGCGAAATAATCTTGAACGCGACGAATAGCCCAATTTTACCTCACATCAACCTCACCTTACTTAAACGTACTAGTCTTCCGTCGTCAGTGTTGCTGGTGGATTACAGTTCGTCTTTTAAACAGTTGTAAATAGTATTGTTATCCTAAAATATGTTTGACAAATTTGCTTTGTAGTCATGTGACGTGCCAGTAGCTATTAAAACCTCTTATCGTCGCTATATGGTTGAAATAATGCTGACGCGACGCTACATTGTAACTCACTCACTCACTCGCCTGTCAGTCTTCTATTTTTTACTTTCAGTTTTCCACTCAATCAGTACATTAACCGCCTTACCTTGAGGCCAAAGCTGTACTGGTCATCGTACCCCACCCACTGGTCGCCTTTGTAGGCGTAGGGCACTTGCTGCTCCTCGTCCCAAACTCGAGTCCAGCCCGTCTTGAAGGACAAGCAGATCTAAAACAAAAAAAATAATACCCCTTCAAACCTATTGCACCCAGGTACGATTCTATATTTAAGCAACATAAGTCATTCAACGGTACTTTTAGTTCTTATTTCTAACCACCTCAGTGGTGTAGCGGATAGAGTGTCTGCCTGAAGGGCGGAAGGTTGGTAGTTTTATCCCCTGACCGCGTCATAACAAAAGATTATATTTGACGTTAATTTCACTGCTGTTGGGCTTTAGGGGAATAACTATCAGGCTCGAAGTCAGTTTCATGTGTTCGGGTGGGGTATCAATGTTAATCTGTGGCATGGTATCTCAGTGAGCTACATGAGCTATGCATAGGTACATGGACCCGCACAACGGTTCTGGTATCGCGATTCCTAGGTTAATCGTAACAGTCAAAGTCAACGGTAACATGTGAAACACACCTACCCTGCTTCGAAGTTTCCTCGGGCAAAGCATACGACATTACACTTTTCCACCATGAACGACATCTTTTTTATTATTGTCGACGAATACTGGAGGTAGCAATAGCAGCTGCACGTAGACTAATTACTGTAGTAAATATACAACTCAACGTCTGAGAATAATCAGTCTCAGTTTTCTGCCGAAACAGATTCCAATGTGCGTAAAAGGCAAACCAGCGCGGAAAATTATAGGAATGGATCACTAGTGAGTGAGTTGGTTGGGTTTAACGCCGCTTTTGACGGCATTCCAGTTATATCACGGCGTGTCAGCTTAATGTGGAAGGAAATCCCGAAATGATGCAGGTCTTAGGCGTTTTCACTTCGGTGAAACCCACGAGCACGGGTATGGTGCTGACAAACCTAGAAACATTATCGGAGGAATGGATCACTAAACATCAGTGATTGCACCAGGTGTTCGCGAAAGGGTAAGCACGCCGTGCTCCACCGATAGCACCCGCCATATAGTTTGCATAAAAAGTAAGTGTGTTTGTTTGTTGCCTTAGCAATTACCTCTGGCAGGAGAAGTCTGCCTCTTCGTTTGTAGAGTATTCCAGGTCGCCCCCCTCCGACCTTGACGGGCGCCCCGACGGTGTTGTTGTTTTTGTTGCTGAGGGTGAAGCTAGCACCTGCAGCCGTCATCCCCATGATCACCTTGCTCCTGTCAGCTCCCCGGTTGATCCACACGTTGACGGCGTATTCCTGTATGAAGATGTTGCATTGTGAGTTGGGCTTAAAGCTGTTTTGAACAATGATTCAGTTTCATCACTGGGTGTTAGCTGAATGTGGAAGGAAGAGAGCGAATTTGGTTTAACGCCGCTTTAACAGTATTCCCGTTAAATCCCATCCGTATAATGTTAAGGAGGGTTCAATATGATGCAACTCAAAGGGAGTCATGTGACAAACATAGGTCTATTTTATCTGGAATTCAAGACGACCAGCGGATGCTGGTACCGCCAAGGGATGCAACTCTGCGCTGATGGACTACTACTACAAGAACTATTTTTTATCACAATGTATTGTAAAATCAATATTATTTGTAAGTGTGAATGTATTTTTACCATGTATTTATGATTTAACCGTGCCATCGGCACTTAAGTATCAGGAATTTCGAAACTGGAATGTCTCAAACTTGGATTAGAAGGGAGGACTACGCCTCAACAGCCACAGAAATACGGACAATGTTAATGACCGATGGATCTGCTTATCACATAGGGTACAGGATCTGAGTACTGACCACGTTGTAGGCTGGGTTGAAGTGGATGTGCTTCTTGGCTCGGAGGGGGCTGTTGAAACCGGTCACGCGACTCCATGTTCCGTAGAAGTCGAACGTCATAACGAAAATGTAGTCCACATACCTGGAAAACCACAGTCGTTATTCGTGTTATAAATTCACTTTTTGAAAAATTGATTATAATCTATTATGAAAAAAGGCATTTATGAATGATACATATTAATAAATATTGAATGCATGTTTATTCGTAACTACAATTTGTGAATCCTGTTTTCGTGTGAACCAAATGGTATATACTCTTTCCTCCTGCGGTTCCTCCTGTGGCAATTCCTTGTAAAATATGTTTGTTTATCCACAGACATCCTTTTTATGATTACATTGTTCAATGGCATTGTCTTTATAACCAGCAGCAACAGCAGCAAAGTGAGTGAGGGAGTGAGTTTGGTTTAACACCGCTTTTAACATCATTCCAGTTATATCACGGCGTGTCAGCTTAATGTGGGAGGAAATCCCAGAGTGATGCAGGTCTCTGACGTTTACCACTTCGGTGAAACCCACGAGCACGGGTATGGTGCTGACAAACCTAGGGACATAATCGGGGCGAACCGGGATTCGAACCCACAATCTTAGGTTTCTGGCGTGACCAAGGGACGCAAGCCTGCACAGCGAATCGCGGCGCCTTAGACGACTGGGCACCGTGCCCCCAGCAGCAAAGTGGATGAGTGAATGAGTTTGGTTTAACCCCGCTTTTGAACAGTATTTTAGTTACATCACGGCGGGTGGGGTTAATGTTTTACAGGTCTCACATTGTACAGACAAACCATGGATCATAAGCGGGATGGATATGGGATCCCAGCCCACAACAAGCGGATCCTGACAAAGCCACGGTACGGAACTCTGCACAAAGACGAGGCACCTCATATCACTGGGCCAACCCTACTCTCCGATGCAGGACAAACTGCTCTTGCGTGAGTGATTCTTTTTATGTTTTTATGTTTTTTCGCAGTTAAACACATCGTTTCACGATGATATAGTGCACAACTCACTTGTTGATGGCCTCAACGTCATAGCCGGCGCTTATCTTATCTACCCCAGCTGCAGCAGCTATGGTCAGCAACAAAGGCTCCCCATCTTTCGCCTCATTGTCGAATTCCTTCCGCAAGATCTGAAATGAAAGAATCTCGATGAATGTTTAATGACAAAACGCTTTGTTCGGCTCTGAATCTATCTTCAACATTGTCAGGTTATTTAAGCCCAAGGGAGCACTGGACTATATATAACTATTCGCAAATCGAGTGGGCTTCCAACATAAGACCATAAACATTTACTGGGACAATGAAATGACACAGGTTAAGGATACATGTATATCGAGTATATTGTGTCACGACTACTCGGTAACTGTAGGGAACAAAATAGATGAGCTGATTGTACGATAAATGCTGACACTGACCTCGGTAAACGTCATCATACATCGCAATCCCTACCCTGAATGAATATAAAACATTGTATGCAAGGACCATCAAATGTTTCGTAGTATCAAAGTTGTCTGATACCGATTCCACAACCAAATCACGACGTTCACACCTAGAACGAGTTTCACAAATGTAATCCTAACACCACTTTGCACTAAAGTTAACTGATTTGCAAACAAAAAAGGGGGGGGGGGGATTATTCACCAAAGATAGTTGTCTTTCATGTGCCATCGATATTGGGTTGGCCAAGAACACAGAAGGTTCAAAACAAAATGAACGGATTTGAATGGCCAGCATTGTTTATAGAGTTTGCACTCTTTATCTGGGGCGGTCGGGTAGCCTAGTTGTTAAAGCGTTCGCTCGTCACGCCGAAGACCCGGGTTCGAATCCCGACATGGGTACAATGTGTGAAGCCCATTTCTGGTGTCCCCCGCCGTGATATTGCTGGAATATTGCTAAAAGCGGCGTACAACTATACTCACTCACTCACTCACTCACTCTTTATCTGCACGTGTGTGTGTACGTATCTGCACTCGGGCCTCAACATATAAGGCAACGATTACATATATTGTATCGAAATAAAACACCTGTATCGTGATATATTGTATCGTTTCTTTGGTGATGTTTTACCACCCAAGGGTATGGCCATCCATTGTTAAATCAGCGTATTTCAATCGTTATATTTCGTTCAGATTTTATGTTCATCAAATGATCTATGAGGCCATGATCCCTCTGTTAGTGTTTTCTTAATTACCGCAGACTCAACATTTCACAAATATGAATCTTATTCTTCCTGTCAAGTTTACCATGAATGACAAGAACTCCAAATCAGGTCGATATGTGGAGGAAAAGGAATTAATCCTTTGACTTTATATCCCAAACAACACATGTACATGCATGTTTTCACACGTTCTAGACATGCGATAATTCTTTTTTAATTGTTTACACTTGTGGCCAGATTTAAAACACATGTTGACGTCTTGTCCTTGAGGAACATCCTTTTGGAAATTTAAAGAAGAACTTACCTTGAGAAAATTGGTAAACCGAGATTTTGTTGAAGTATAGGGATACTCCCAGTCAACATCTAAGCCATCAAATCCATGTTCCCTTAAAAATCTGATCGTATTGTTGGCAAACTGTTGCAAGGAAGGTGTCGAAGCTGACAACATGGAAAACTCCTCGGCTATGCCAGGGGTTTCACCGCCAACTGACAACAGAGTCTTCAGGTTCGGATTCTTTGACTTGAGGTGGTTAAACTTCTTATAGTTTCCCCAAACACCATTGTGGCTGTATTCATTACCTGGATCTATAGCAACAACAGACTTGGACGGTACGTCTAGTTTTGCGAAGGCGTAGATTATGTGTGTGCACAGGTTAGGATCAATTTCTTTCACTGGAAGACGAACTTTGGTGAGACTGGTTTGAGCAGACCAGCTGGTGAAATAACAGGCGGTGATGTAGCCAGCAACTGAAACGACAAAAGAAATTAAATCGACTTGCGTTCATTTACCTCATTTATGTGTCAGAAATCGTGAGTATTTAAATTGGATATTAATTTAAGGTGAACATTTTAGAATTAGTGCCAACAGATTTATCTTTTTGTACATAAGTGAAACAACATGTGTCTTTACATTGGTAAAAGGAGCCATGGGAATATTGTTTATTTTTAGAAGCATCCCCACAGAAGGGTAGGGCTTCGGTATACCCAGGATGGAAAGGATGCGCTGACTTTGTTTAACAGGTCCAATTGAGGACGTATTCCATTTCTTGTAGTTTGAGATAATTTGAAAACTTAAATAAAGGACAGAAATATATACCAGTAGACAATAGAGAAAAAATAGCCTCTCCATGTCTTTATCACTCTTATGTCCGGTAATAATGGGGAAAATATCAGCAGTACATCATTATTTATTTGCCATACTTTTACCAGCATGAACGCGACTTTAAGGCCCATTTCACTTGGCTTCATTTTTTAGAATGCTCAATCGTATATCACGAAATGCTAGTTTCATGGGGCTTTGTAACACGAGGATGCTTTTGAACGCATAGCTTGGTAACAAGTAAAATACATAAATGGAGTAACTTACACGAAGATACTTTCATGTGATCCTATGATCCTGGGTTCGAATCCCTGACTCGCTCGAATCCCTGACTTTTGTTTGCCATCACCATATCCGTTCTTATGGGTTTCACTAACGACCTTCAACTTACATCACTTTGGGCTCTCCTTCTATATCCCAAAGTGAAGATCAGGGGTAGAATAGGTCCTCAGCAACCCATGCTTGCCGTAAAAGGCGAGTATACTTATCGTAAGAGGCGACTAACTGGATCGGGTGGTCAGGTTCGCTAACTTAGTTGATGCATGTCATCGATCCCAATTGCGTGGATTGATACGCATGATGTCAATCAGTGGATTGTCTGGTCCACACTCGATTGTTTACAGATCGCCATCATATAGCTGGAAAATTGCTGCGTGAGTCGTTAAACAGCTAACAAACAAATCCTTCCATATGAAGCTGATATAACAGAAATAACTCCCTCTTTCTAACTTTAAATGCTCGTAATTTGTGCAAGGAACGAACCTTGCTCAATGCATTGTATAATTGATGTGAGACATGAAGTAACTAAAAGGATGAAAACAGACAGAACACAGATGAAACTATTATGATCAAGCTATTGTTCTTGCAGTTAATTCTGCCAGGATTTCACTGACCATTTTGAACGTGCATTTAAAACAAGTAAAACTGACGTAACTATAGGTCATGATGCAAACCTATAGAGACATTATACATCAACCATAACATGATTTAAGTCAGGTTTGGTGAGGTGCGGTGAAATGGGGTTTAACGTCGCGTCCAAAAAGTTTGCACATATAGCGACGTGCATGCACAAAGCGCCAGACAGGGTAACAACAACGTCTTCTAGTATGGAGCGGCCGGGACGCTCCACCACTAGACCACGGAGGCGGTCGGTTTAAGTCGGAGAAATCACTCGAGCCTGTTCATTCCAAAACTAGACTCAACAGATTCTCACGATTTCTCCAATACAGAACCAATACTGCTACACAGACAAAAAACACACTACCAGTCTCTTGATGCTGTTTGATATTAGCTCAAGTTGGCCTAAGTATTCCAGCAGGTATGTGAGACCATTGACATCTCGTACAATATAGTTATTATGACTGATGAGATACATGAAATGATCCTATCATTTACTATATATAGGGCCATAACATTCTGATAATGGATGACAAGTAGGGGATTAACTGTGCAATCAATATACCGTTTGTTGTTGTAACCTGTCCGAAAAGTGACACCCCTGGCGAATTAGAAGATACCTATCCAGGAACTTCACTTCCATAACCCCTACACTTACATAAACTCTACAGTCTTTAAATAGTAATGGCCCCACACTAATCCTCTACACAAACAACTGTTGGGGTCATGATAGTGTAGGGGTAATGTGAGGACACCGCCCAGGCATCCATTTCAGTCACACATATGTATATCGTAACGTTGTGGTCTGGCTTAGTCCTTCAATACCTCACCTTGACAGCTCTCTGGCACTGATAGCAGTATCAAGGCCACCAACAGGACGACCGTGGCCATTGTTGCTTCTAAAACTGAAAAATATAATTGCCAAAGGCTCAAATGACATGAAAACAGATCCCTTCGACTACGTGCAACGGAGCGACTTAAGCGTTTCAAGAACTACATATCTATTGCTGGATTTTTTGTCGGCGGACTGAAATCGCAATAACTGTATAGTCGTGACACTTGTGGACCTTCGTATAAGACACACGACGCTGATCTGATGACGTTCTTGGTTTCAGTATTTTATTTATTTATTTTTGAATTAACTTTTTACGAAATTATTCCTTTATCGTTTACAGAAGAAACCATTAATCAGGGGTTACTGAAGACATGTTTTGTTAAAAGTAAGAATTCCCAAGTGAATTATTTACGGTTACCTTGAACTTAGAAGTCAACCAATCATATGCCAGAAATAAATAAATCAAATGTGTGTAAGATGTCTGAATGTCCTGCTACTGGAAGGGAAGGGCATTGTTACGACGTAAATTGTAATAAAAAGGTAAATTGTAATACTTGCAGCAAATTGTAATAATTTTGACGTAAACTGTAATAACAACGTAAATTGTAATAATATTTGACGTAAATTGTAATACGCAAATTGTAATAAAAATTGACGTAAATTGTAATAATCTCTACTTGCGGTAAAATGTAATAAATTCTTACGTAAATTGTAATAACCTTACTACCGTAGTGTACAAGACGCCAATTGACTAGAAATGATCTTTGTCAGTTGAGCTTGCGTTTCACATGTACAATTCGAGAAATACTGTGTATGATGACAAACGTACAAAACTGTTAAGTTAGGGATGGTTGGTATAGGCTTTATCGTACAATCGTCATTAAAGGGTGGAGTCAACATAGTGAAAGACATTTATTGGAAGTGATGTGGTGTTTGTGGCATGCTATCATCTACGTAGAAGATACTACCATCTGCGTAGAAAATACTATCATCTACGTAGAATTGAGTGAGTGAGTGAGTTGGGTTTAACGCCGCTTTTAACATTATTCCAGTTATATCACGGCGTGTCAGCTTAATGTGGGAGGAAAGCCCGAAGTGATGCCGGTCTCAGACGTTTACCACTTCGGTGAAACCCACGAGCACGGGTATGGTGCTGACAAACCTAGAAACATAATTGGGGCGAACCGGGATTCGAACCCACAATCATAGGTTTCTGGCGTGTCCAGGGGACGCAACTCTGCACAGCGAATCGCGGCGCCTTGGACGACTGGGCCACCCGTGCCCCCTATCTACGTAGAAGATACTATCATCTACGTAGAAGATACTTTCATCTACGTATATGATAGTATCTTCTACGTAGATGATAGTATGCCATCTAGATACTATCGTCCACTTACATACTTTCATCTACGTACATGATACTGTCATCTAGAGTATGTAGAAGTGCAGTCATATATGTGATACCAATGACATAGAGCTCACATTAACTGTTATTACATACACACCTACATGCGCGCACAAATACATACATACATACATACATACATACATACATACATACATACATACACACACAAACACACACAAACACACACATAAATACATACATACCTATGTGTGTATGTGTTTGTATGTATGTGTGTGTGTTGGTGTGTATATGTGTGTTTGTGTGTATGTATGTGTGTGTGTCTATACTGATGAGGGCATAGTATCGGAGATAAATATAATTTGGTTTCTTAGTTAGTCACTATTCTTTTCATTAGAATGTTAAGAAGGTATGCTATAATTTCAATATTTTATTACAGTGCTTGATGTTAGCTGGAATTATTTTAATCCTCTTAAACCCCGAGAGAAGATTATCCTCTGAGGTAATTTTTGTCCGTATATATGTCACAAATTAGTGATAACTTATGAAAAACGTAATTATCTGTTTCGAAAATTATGTACCGCATTATACGTGAGGTACCAAATTTTGTATCAAGGTTGCTTGGCGCAATCCACCAACGATTGCCGAGTTTAATGATCTTAGAATACTCTTCGTATAAGGTCAAAGAGAATATTTACATTATTGACAAAACCCTTTTCATTATAGATTTTCCATCCTTTCAATTTTGATCAAAACAGTTTTATTTCAGCAATAATTGATTGCAACAAATTGATTATACATTCTGATGCTCTTTGAAACTCAACAAGACATGCCCGAAGATACCGGATTAAATTTGTGTATGCTTGTGAATTATGATTTCGTGCCGTTATCATGATGGATTCTGTTTTTGTTGTTGGGGCAAGGAGTTGTCAGTAAGTTGATGTTAGTTCTTCATGACATATGAAAGGAATCCAGACAGTAACATTTATTCATTTATTTCATTAAATATACTTCTTCCTATGAAAGGAAATATTTTATGTTATATTCATGATCCATATGTTAATCATACATTGCTACAAATATTGCATAAGTTAACATGGTTTGCATTTATTTATTATTATTTCTTTATCTGTGAGAAGTTCAGAGAGATCGAGAATACACAATATCTAATAGTATATGCAATGTAGGTAAAGAATATCCTCGCCCCTCTTTTGATATATATAAAACATTGTATATAATGTTATGTATTAAGTATTCTCCTTTCCCATGGATGGAAAATCTATGCTGCATTTGCTGACTACTGGGTTTTTTTCATTTGACATTGCACACAGGAGATCTGTCACTCATTTGTTGTATTTGAATTCTTCGTCAAAATATAATACAAAACACACAGAGTATTTCTCAAATAAATAAGAAAACTAAGTTCATTCTAGTAATTAATCAACTTCTGGACAACCATAGAAATGAAATTCCAATGCGTTTATATATACATATAATTATACAACAATGTACGATAACGACCTCAATCCTCCCCCACACCCATACTTTAATGACGATTGTACGATAAACCCTGTACCAACCCTGACAAGGATAGGTTCTAGTCATTTAACACCTTTGACACTAAACTTAAAAGGTTATTACAATTTACGTAAAAAGTTATTACATTTTACCGCAAGTTGAGATTATTACAATTTACGTCAAATTTTATTACAATTTACCTTTTTATTACAATTTACGTCGTAACAGGCATGCTTACCTTCTCTGATTTTCAATCTTTCATATATTTTTTACCACAATTTTGCCTTTACGCCCAGTGGAATCCGTTTCGTCGGATATTCGACATTGATTATTTTCTGGCGTTGACGTTTTATGTTATATTGAATATGAGGTCTAATATACGTATATGCATAATAACCGTTTGACTGTGGTTGCAGTCGTTTTGTTGGTGTGAATATCTATTGATCCAGTGTGGAACCGATTTACAATAGTCCCCAGGACTATATTGGTGTCGTTAGAGTCGACTAAATTGGAGTGATAGTCAGGCTCGGTCACCTTGTCATTTGCGTGTCATCATACCCCGACGAAGTAGATATCATAATATCAACCACGGGTGTGTTAGGCCAGGACTATTTGGAGGCGTCCGTGGTTTAGGCAGCACAACATTCACTCAACCCGATTACGTAGTGAAACTTTCCTCTTGGTCGGTCACATTTTTTAAAGATATAATTATTTTATTCTTCTTATCATTAAGTTCAGACTTTCACAGAGTTACAGAGTATCAAATATGGGTTATTTGGGATTCTGGGTAACAATATAGGTCCCCAGCAACGCATGCTTGTCGTAAGAGGCGACTTAACGATTTGATTGGTCAGGATCGGTCGCTTGGTTTGGTTCCATGTCATCGTATCCTAATTACATGGATCGATGCTCTGATGTCAACCAAAACACTGTCTGGTCCAAACTCGATGATATACAGACCGCCGTCATATAACTGGAATATTTCAGAGCGCGGGGTTAACAACAACAAAAATACAAACAGTTGTCTACCTATTCCTAAGTATTTCACACTGAAAGTGAGACACTCACGTAAGCGAAACATAGCTTTGAACAGTATTCCGGTTAGATATCATGGCGTGTCAGCTTGATGTGGGAGTAAAGCCCGAGGTGATGTAATTCTTTAACGTTTACCACTTTGGTGAAATCCACAAGCACGGGTATGGTGCTGACAAACCTAGAAAAATAATCGGCGCGAACCGGGGACGCAACTCTGCAAAGCGAATCACGGCGCCTTTGACGACTGCCCGTAAACAAAAGAGGTCTAACAGAACTGCAGAGGTAATGCTCTTATATCTATAGTTTTATCATTTTAATTGGGCATACATGAGATTTTTATTATAATCCTGCACGACCTTAGATGACCGTCGAGTTAATTATAACAATCTGGTACACGTAACAAACGGAAATTAATATCTTATGGGTTTGGGATGCTTATTTCAGAAATTGTTTCTTGCTGACAAATTGTGATTATTTTGAGCAGTGATTTCTGATTATTATGGAAATGGTTTTGTTGCTTTAAAACAGGTAGAAGGTAGTTGTATCCGTACCTGACAGGGTGACGTCACCTACACAATTTGGTTGTCTCATTTGAGTTAAAACGTTTATGGTTTGTCTGAATCATCACCTATTACAATGTGAGAACACACATTCTCTCTAACCAAGCGTCTCGGTGTTCTGCAGTAAAGATGTAGACTTGAGGGGATCGTTCATGACATCTGTAGTTTCTGTTTGTCCGAGACTGGACATTCGACAAGAACAAAGGCTGCGGGGCCAAAGTTAGCGATTGCTTTAAATATTGCAAAGTAGTGTCAAAATGGAAGGGATAATATAAGAATGTGATCGTAGTGTCGAAACGTAAGGAATAATATAAAAATGTGATAGTTGTGTCGAAACGTAAGGAATAATATAAAAATGTGATAGTTGTGTCGAAACGTAAGGAATAATATAAAAATGTGATAGTTGTGTCGAAACGTAAGGAATAATAGAAAAATGTGATCGTAGTGTCGAAATGGAAGGAATAATAGAAAAATGTTATAGTAATGTCGAATTGGAAGGCATAATATAAAATTGTTATGGCAATGTCGAAATGGAAGGAATAATATAATATAAATGTGATAGTGATGTCGAAATGGATGGAATAATATAAAAAAAATGTCATAATAGCACCAAACTCGAAGGAATAACATAAAAATGTGATAGTAGTGTCGAAATGGAAGGAATAACATAAAAATGTGATAGTAATGTCGAAATGGAAAGAATAATATAAAAATATGATAAAACGTTTAAAACAACCATTTAGTAGATAAAATGAACAAACGAACTCTCGAAATACTTAATTAACGTAAGAATAAATCGCTACAACGAATGAAGTAATGGCAAACCATCCCCTGGTTTGTATGACCAATACCTGCCGAAGCTAATGCTGTATGAATATTATTTCAATGACGGTCACTATCTCCCGTTTGAACCTACCTCTGAGCCAGGATGTTCCTGTGTGGTCCTCACTTCACCACGGCCACTTTAAACATGGCGTCTTCACATCGAGGATCTGTATGTCCCTACCGGGGCGGCCAGAGATCATTCTATCGACATTTTGTAGCTTGTGAAAACAAACCCAGCCATCGTGTTGACCGTACTTGTTTAAACCGTTGTTGTTTTGTCAGGCATAATGCAGGACAGGTTGTTTATTGTGTTAGTGTTGTGATCAGGAGTTTGCTCTGGCAAGTCTTGTTATACTTTCTGATGGCCAGTGGTACATGGTCTTCCACGGTTAAGCATGTAGACATGTTTGTCAGATTGCACACTCTCGGCGACTCTACGTGCATGAGGATAAAAAATAATACGACATGTGATTCTTTGTGATATGCTTTTTTTCAGCGGCAATAAAGAGTTTGAATAATCAATTCAGCGATTATAAGAGTCATGTCCCAGAGAGGTGGCCTGTACCAGAGCTGGTCGTTCATTGGGGCCAGGATGTTTACTGCATACAAGCGTGTTGATGATTGCAATGGACGACACACATGCATGGCTGAACGTTAATTTACTCGAACTTTAACCAACAACTATCGATAAAAATGTGGTGATATATTATATAATAGCGTGAGGCCAGACCAATTAAGTAATTTCTAGTACGGATATCAATCGAGAAATTACATTAAGGGATGAAATATTTATTAAAATATATAAATAGATATGTAACGACAAAACTGGAGAATAATCAGTCCTGATTACCGCCGAAATAGGTTCTTTATAGGGGTAAAATCAAAATAGAGGCGACAATTATATAAATGCATCACAGAAAATCAGAGATGACTTCAGGTGTACTGATTTATTACTGACTGTGCCTATTACCGTATTTTGTTGTGTAATACACACACAAACACACTCATTGAGTGAATTGAGTGAGTGAGTGAGTTGGGTTTAACGCCGCTTTTAACATTATTCCAGTTATATCACGGCGTGTCAGCTTAATGTGGGAGGAAAGCCCGAAGTGATGCAGGTCTTAGACGTTTACCACTTCGGTGAAACCAGCGAGCACGGGTATGGTGCTGAAAAACCTAGAAACATAATTGGGGCGAACCGGGATTCGAACCAACAATCATAGGTTTCTGGCGTGTCCAAGGGACGCAACTCTGCACAGCGAATCGCGGCGCCTTAGACGACTGGGCCACCCGTGCCCCCTGAGGTACATGTAGGTGAACGTCATTTCAAGATTATGGTATTTATATAGCGACGTCCCTGTACGAGTATGCGTGCGTGTGTGCTTGTACAAGACCGGACTAATATAGTTTTAAATTACTAGCCCACTGAGTAACCATGCCGCATTTTTAACATGAAAAACCCGCTCAGACATAGTATACTGACACAGAGCCGACCAGTCCTTGCGTTAAAACCATAATGTCAGCGCCAGGCAGAGTAAATAAGTACCAGCTTCTTCTCGTCTTTGGTCTGACGTGTCTGGTGGTCAAACCACCGACCTTCCAGTCTCCGGGCTGACGCTTTATCCACCTCGGTCCTCTGAGCATGGATAACACCAAGTAAAACATCAGTAATATGAAGAACATTTATTGATATAAAAATGACATGATAGATCACAACAATCTAATTTTCCAAGTACGCAAACAAGAATAACAGAAAACAAAATCAATAAATTACATTAAATCGAACACATACGACGTGGTAGATACTTGACAGATTCTAGGCAATATACATGAAATTATTACATCCATGGCGCCAGGGCTGCGAAGCATTGTGTACGTATCAGTAAGGCTTATGCTAATGCTATTTATTCGATGAACCTTAAAAAAACTACTCACAAAACAGTAACCTAGTAACCAGACGTTTACCACTTCGGTGAAACCCACGAGCACGGGTATGGTGCTGACAAACCTAGTAACATAATCGGGGCGAACCGGGATTCAAACCCACAGTCATAGGTTTCTGGCGTGCCCAAGGGACGCAACTCTGCACAGTGAATCGCAGCGCCTTAGACGACTGGGCCACCCGTGTCCCGAATATGAAAGAGAATATAGAACGTCTACATTGACTTTATACATAAGCGTCTATTTACACGTACGAAAACACAAAGTGTACTTTCGTATTCCTCTCAAGAAGGCACTGATTTGTTACTAATGTAACTTTACTATCATTCTTTGGGTTCCGATCCAATTCATCCAGTGTCTTCCACTCGAGAAACAGTTACACGCTGGTTCCGCTGGTTCAAGACCCGTGAAGATCCGGGGTAGGATAGCAACCCAACCAGGTCTTCAGCAACCTATGTTTGCCGTAAAAGGCTTGTCGTAAGAGGCGACTTACGGGATCGGGTGGTCAGGCTCGCTGACTTGGTTGATGCATGTCATCGATCCAAATTGCGTGGATTAATGCTCATGATATTAATCACTGGATTGTCTGGTCCAGACTCGATTATTTACCGACCGCCGTCATACAGGTGGAATATTGCTGAGTGCTGCGTTAAACAACAAACCAATCAGCCATCCAACCTAGCTACATTTAATCAGGCTGTGCTCATGGAATGATAGCTTATAAATACACCAGAAACCCATTTAATCCGAAGTGAAGTTAGGAAGAATATTCTCCCCAGTATAGTGTTCAAAATGTATGTTGTACCATGTCCATCATTATCAATATACATCATCGTGCAGACACCTTGCGTGAAGAAACCAGTTTTAAGTTCAAGAATGTCCTTAGGTTCGCGGCCGTTTGAAAGTAAATGTAAAAATATATCTTCAGTGATGTGGCCAATTTCTTTGCATTACTGGCATTAATTAAGATGTTGAGGTCTAGTAACCATTTAAATGGGGCATAACTCCTTTGAACTCGCTCGAGTGAGAATATGAATAGGCCCTTGCTCCCTTGTTAAACACGCGAGACACGTTGACTTTGATGGATTGACTTCGTTGAAAATACAGCATTAACATGGCATTCTCCGATTGGAGATTATTGATATCGTTTCCTAATATACAAAAAAAGCAAAGATCAGTTGGTCCATATTAAAATCTACACTTATGGAAATATGTTCAATGTAGCAATGGACACCAAGGGCCTATTCTAATGGAGTTTCGATATTATAATCTGTGTCTGGTCAACTCTCTAAACCGTATCTTCATCAGAACCCAAACCATCCAAGTAAACATAATTAAATAGGATAAGCATTTTCACGATTAGGATTCAAGTCATACGTTGTGGTTGATAAGCTTTTGCGAATACACAGTATTCCAGTAACATGCAAACAAAGCATATTGAATAGCTGCATATATTAGCCTATTAGCTGATATAACGTTAAACTATCATTGTTACTTTTACAGACGTGCAAGTCATGGATTTGACGGTTTTTAATATATAATTGCAAGCTCACCAAGTTGAGAGAAGGAGATCACATACGGGAAGATGAGCGATGAGTACACCACAACAAGTAACACAATCCAACATAGCCATGATGGTACTGAGCAAGGACAGGAACAATTGTATTTGAAATAACAAATATGATAATAAATTTGATAAATGTTCACGCACAAAACTCCAAATACTGTGATAGTAGGATCATCGAGTAACTATGGTAACTATGCCTGTCGCATCATCAAATATTCTGGGGGAATATTTCACATCACGATAGTTCATCGTTGCATGACAGACTAAGAATATAAATATGAAAGAATCAGGTGTTCGCTGACTTCTTTTGAGTAGTAGAAATATTAGTGTTAGTTCACCCTGTCATTTCAGATTATTGTCATTGGAGATAGAATAGAAACACAGATGTTCTACTTTATTTTGATTGGTATGATAGTCATTTGTAGTTATCATCCGGATTTGTTATTTCCTTGAAACGTTAATCCACACTTTGAACACATTTAAACATCATGTAATTTCATGCAGTATAAATTCGTAAATCATTCAAACAAAACTTAACAAACACAGATACAATAATCACAACTTCATAAACCATTGACAAAGACAGATACAGACTAAAGCACTTATAACAGTATAGAATCCAGTTTTATACAGAGTTGTCGACCCCTTGCCCTTGGTCATTAGAACTATATCCGGGTCAATGTTCTTCGTGAGTGGCGTTTCTCCAGATTCAAGTCCAAACGCTTTTTTGATTGTGTTGAGGAGCGGGAACTTCCCTTTCTCGCAGTATTTGCCCTTGGGGTCGTCAAAACTTAGTTCCCAGAACATCGCCCCTCCCAACTGTTGATCAATGATGTACTTCGCCTGTAAAGAGGGTTGACGTTTGTATTGAAGCGTTATAGTATCGGAGATGCTGTAACTGCATGGTTTAATGAGCATGGACAAACGCCTGGCCAGGGTAACAGAGATCACAAGTTTGGACCAGTAGAACAGGCCGTTCATACGTGAATTCAAACTGAAAATGATGTTATTAACGAATATTAGTATCATACCTTTAATCCTACACTCTGTTTGTCATCGTATCCGACCCAATTATCTCCAGAGTAAGCGAAGGGTACTTGCTGTTCCTCATCCCATTCCCTCTTCCAGTTCACGTTCAAGGCCAAACATATCTTGAATATGATAAAGAAAACAAATTTAGATACGAACAATTACTTGTGTAGGTAATGCATTAAAACAATTTCTTCTTGTCTGGTGTTTTACCTATATTCAATTATGAGCCTTTTATATTTGATTGGCGAAAAAAATACGTCTGATGTCTCTGGAAGAAAGTTATTGTGGAAGTGTGACTTACCGTCGACACCCCTGCATGTCAATCGCAATCCTAAATAACGTCCTCTGTGACATCTATCCTTAAACATGCAGATATCACTGACCACATCCATTTCCACTCTTACAGCTGAAGTAATGCATCTGTCCAAAACTATATCCATTTCACTCATACCAAAGTAATGAATAACAACATCCACACTCGCACCCACTACCATAGCTACATCCACATACACATCCACGTCCTCATCAACAACCCACTTTAAAACTAAACCCCCATCCGTACCTAAAACCACATCCACATCCATGACTAAACCTACTAACAAAACCACGTCCACAACTTGAATTGCTTGAGAGGCATTTCAAAGATGTTGACTGGTGACAAAGTTGATACAATTTATGGATAACAACTTCTTTATCATACCGTAGGGACGTTTCGGTACAGGTCGTTCTTCTGTTGTCCTTGTGCATCCACATCCACAACAAAATCCACATCTACAACCACACCCATGACTATATCCACACCCATGACGAAATCCACACACCCAACGAAACCCAATTCATGTCAATATCCACTAACTAAATTCACATCAAACAACGAAATCTACATCCATTACTAAATCCACGGTCCCATCCGCAACTGCATCCACGGCTAATTCCAAAGCAACAACTACAAATAACCAGCCGCATTCACATCTTCATCAACATCCACAAATCCATTTACAACTCTCAACCACAACCACATACGCAACAACATACAAAACTACAATCAAGTCCACATTCACATGGACAACTAAGTCCACATCCACATGCACAACTAAATCCACATCCACAACAAAGTCCACATCCACAACTAAGTCAACATCCACATACACAACTAAATCCACACCCACAACAAAGTCCACATTCGCAACTTAGTCCACATCCACAACTAAGTCAACATCCACATGCACAACTAAGTCCACATCCACATGCACAACTAAATCCACATCCACAACTAAGTCCACATCAACAACTAAATCCACATCCACAACAAAGTCCACATCCACAACTAAGTCAACATCCACATACACAACTAAATCCACACCCACAACAAAGTCCACATTCGCAACTTAGTCCACATCCACAACTAAGTCCACATCCACATGCACAACTAAATCAACATCAACATGCACAACTAAATCCACATCCACAACTAAGTCCACTTCCACAACTAAGTCGAAATCCACAACTAAGTCCGCATCCACATCCACAACTAAGTCCACATCCACATGCACAACTAAATCAACATCCACATGAACAACTAAATCCAAATCCTCAACTTAGTCAACATCCACAACTAAGTCCATATCCACATGGACAACTAAGTCCACGTCGACATGCACAACTAAATCCACATCCACATGAACAATGAAAAGATTAAGAAAATATCTGTTGACAACGAGTTAGCGGTGCACATGCTTTGCAAATCCTGCAGTCGACCGAAATCTGGATGACACTTTACGAACCGGATTTCGATTTCGGTGCTCGATTTTGATTGGACTATACATAGACTCGTTAGCCCAGCCAAAATGTAACTCCATAATACCAGCCTAGTTCGGCAAGGGTGGAAACTGGACTTTTATAGTCAGTTAACTCACTTGCCTCGGGAAGATGAGTCCACGAAGACATGACAACTAAATCCACATCCACATGCACAACTAAATCCACATCCACAACAAAGTCCACATTCGCAACTTAGTCCACATCCACAACTAAGTCCACATCCACATGTATGCACAACTTAACCCACATCCACAACTAAGTCCACATCCACATGCACAACTAAATCCACATCCACAACTAAATCCACATCCGCAACTAAGTCCACATCCACAATGCACATCCACAACTAAGTCCACATCCACATGCACAACTAAATCCACATCCACATCCACAACTAAATCCACATCCGCAACTAAGTCCACATCCACAATGCACATCTTCAACTAAGTCCACATCCACATGGACAACTAAGTCCACATCCACAAGCACAACTAAATCCCCATCCACATGCACAACTAAATCCACATCCACATGCACAACTAAGTATACATCCACAACTAAATCCACATCCGCAAATAAGTCCACATCCACAATGCACATGGACAACTAAGTCCACATCCACAAGCACAACTAAGTCCACATCCTCAACTTAGTCCTCATCCAAAACTAAATCCACACTCACTTATCCAAAACAACAACTAATTCCACATCCACAATCACAACGAAATCCATATGTACAGCCATGAGTAAATGGACATCCATATCCAAGACGAAATCCACATGCACAACTAACTCAACATCCATGACTAAATCCACATCCACATCCACATCCACATCCACATTCACACCCAAAACTGCATCCAAACCAAAATCAACAGCCACAACTACAACTACAACCATAATCACAGCCACAGCCACTACAGACACAACTATATTCTTATCACAACTGCAACCACGTTCACTCCCTTAGCCATGGATATAAGAAAGCACAATTACAAACGCGTCAGTATGAATATTTACACTTACACCTACATACAGTCAGGGATAAAACACCTACAGTTTTAGACACATCCTAACAAATTATGTTTTTTCACCGACCACAGTCATATGCATACATTTCAATGTCCGCTTCCTCACTCACATAAGCGCCAAACGACAGTCAAATCCACACCTGTACCCAATACCCGAATATACATACCTCGGGGTAGATGAGTCTCCCTGGCTGGGCATACAGGGTACCGGGTGGCCCACCCCCTTTCTTCACGGGTGCGCCTACTGCATGGTCATCGGTGTCGTTGAGGACGAAGCTGGCTCCAGCCCCCGTCATCCCCACAACCAGCTTCCGCTTGTCCACCCCACCGTTCACCCACACGTGGACGGCATGGTCCTGCAATAACCCTCGATAGTTACATGATGCTCATGCTGGCAGAACAGAACGTACATTCCACTCTGTGAGACTACATAGAATATTCGTGTTAACAGGGCATCATGTTTGTTTTTGATTGCTACAGGTAGAGTAGGACAAGCCTCACCTTTTCGCGAACACCCGTGTCATCGTTGATTTACAGGGATCCATTCATATACTTCCTTGGCTATTTTTCTTTACACCCTATGGAATCTGTTTCGGTTTTATGTTTATTTTTACAATTATTCTACTGACATTTGCATGTTGCATTAAACACATTTAGATACAGAAAGGTGGTGTGTTTTATCAAATTTGCAGATATCATGAATTCCCAATGTTGTTAAAATAGTCGCAAAAATAAAGGATCACCTACATCATCACGATTACATGATGTACAGAGTATTTTATCCATAGGTACGTTATTCCATCTCCCTTTCTCAGTTGGTAGTCGATGGCACAGAGTTCTACATTTTGGCATGTTAAAAAGTAAAGTCTGTGCGGTTTTCATACGTACAAGACATCACTGCAAAAAAAAGAGTCCATTGTACGTTTCTGAATCACAATCAAATGGTGATGATTCCTGGTGTTGGCGAAAAGGTGAACATATACTGCCCCAGGGGGCACACGTCACAAACACATGCAAAGGCAAATCAATTATTCATCTGAAGAAAGAAACACGGGGACATACGGCATTAGTCAAAATATGGAATTGCATCGATCATCATCTTGGTCTCTGATGCATCAGTTATGTAAATGTGCTCCCCATGTCCACCATAAACATTTTTCAAAGCTTTACTTAGGCCTTGGCTGTTGTAACCATGCAAACAGCTTTCGAGCAAGAGCCGTATCTTTGTAGAAGGATCATGCTCGATTGAACCTCAAAAGTTGTGCATGGTAATTCCTGTTGATCCAACGTGTGGACATTTGCTGTTTTGTGCACTGGAGCATCACAACATTCCACAATTACTCCACGTTCCTGGTTATTATGAATCCATACGACATCCCTAGGTATTATAAATCTCTCCTCATTCCTAGATATTTATGAGTCTACTCCACATTCTTATGTATGGAGTCTCTCCACATTCCAAAGTATCACGAGTCTCTCCACATTCCAAGGTATTATTAGCCTCTCCACATTCCTAGGTATTGTTAGTCTCTTCACATTCCTAGGTATTGTGAGTCTCTCAACATTCCTGTGTATGGAGTCTCTCCACATTCCTTGGTAATATGAGTCACTCCACATAACTAGGTATTATTAGCCTCTCCACATTCCTTGGTATTATGAGTCACTCCACATTCCTAGGTATTGTGAGTTTCTCAACATGCATGTGTATGGAGTCTCTCCACATTCCTTGGTAATATGAGTCACTCCACATAACTAGGTATTATTAGCCTCTCCACATTCCTAGGTATTGTGAGTCTCTCAACATTCCTGTGTATGGAGTCTCTTCATATTCCTTGGTATTATGAGTCTCTCAACATTCCTGTGTATGGAGTCTCTCCACATTCCTTGGTAATATGAGTCACTCCACATAACTAGGTATTATTAGTCTCTCCACATTCCTAGGTTTTATGAGTCTCTCCACATAACTAGGTATTATAAGCCTCTCCACATTCCTAGGTATTGTGAATCTACTCCACAACCTCTGAAACCCAGAGATGTGCATAATGTTCAACGTAATGCCCGTGAAACCGTTAGAAGTCGTGTCCAAAAAGTGGATTCCACTGTGACGCAGTTAGGGCACGTGTTACTTCATGTCTTCCAGCCTTTAAGTATCGTTCATTATCTTCCTTTTATATGCCAGTTGTCAATAACTACGGTATCCGTCTATTTTAAGAAATGACGATGAGTAGGAGTAACAATATGGTATAATAAAACACTGCTGGAAGAATAAATCATGAGGGGCGCAACCCCGAGTGGTTTATTCTCCCTGCAGCGTTTAATTGTACGATAAACAACGATCGTTTATTTATTGTATGAGATATCAACATTGTGTATAACCTTTTTAAGAATGTCGACAAAGTTGTACAAGCTTTAAACACATTTACCCGTATTTAAATAACGATGACTCCCCGAATGCAATCCGACCTCTGTAATGTCGGACAACTCCATTTTATGTACATGGGGTTAAGGTTGGTATTCTCACAATTTTCACGTAGATTATCAGCACCTATTCTTCCAGTACTCATTGTCATATCGCTCCCACTTTTTGGTGCGATCGTTCGACAATTAGCGTTCATCTCCGCTGCCCAGCTACATCTATGAGGAACAACTCACTCGACACTTCCCTCTCAACAATAACGTCGTCCTATTTACGACGTCATCAAGTAGCCAGGGCATGTTCCAGTCTCCAGAAATGACCTCATGACAGAACAATGTTTTATCGTGAAATAAACCACGCTTCGTTCTTCATTGTTCTTTGCGATTTATCGCGATGCTATTTTAAATATGTAGATACTCTGACTGGTTGAAGACATGTACTTGGCTTTCATAAAGTACTTTACATTTGATCAAATAGCATCGACATTTTCTATATTTTTCCGGCAGCCGGCAAAATGTTTATGTAACGCTGGAATGGAAGACGGACTTATCGCTATTGTATAGGCACTACATATGTACCAATAATACTAAAATGACGTGTTGAATGGAATCAGATTTAACTCTAAGCATCGTTGTTGGGGAAATTGACCGTTTCGGTTGGACTTTTAAACATGACGCTCTTTTTTCACTTGTAATTACATTACCGTTGGATATTACCGCTTAGAAAAGGTCCCCAAAGGTCCTACCTAAGAGGCAGCTAAATGGAGTGTGTGGTCAGGCTCGGTGACCCGTCATTATAAACAAGCTGGTGAGGTGAGGTGAAAAGGGGTTTAGCTTTGCGTCCAAGATTATTGCACTTATGCACGTGTGTGTGTGGCTGCTTGTACTAGTCCGGACTGATGCCGATTTATAGTGCCAGCACACTGAGATACCATGCCGCAGTTAAACATGAATACCCCACTCAGACACAGTATACTGACTCCTTGTTTTAGCCCCTTGCCTACCAGTCCTTGTTTTAGTCCCTTAATGCCGAGTAACAAACAAGTACCATCTTTTAACGTCTTTTGGTATGACGCGGCCGGGGATCGAACCCCGGACCTTCCGCTCTCCGGGCGGACGCTCTACCACTAGACCACGGAGGCGGTCTATTAACAAGATGGCTACGAGCCAATTTCTCGATAACGTACATATCGCCGTCAAAAAACTTGAATATTGCCGACCGCGGCATCAGACAACAAACAATCTACTTACAACGTTATAAAGTTTGGAAAATGTTGGATCACTTCTTTCTTTAAGAGGGCTGTTGAATCCAGTCACTGTACTCCAAGATCCAAAGAAGTCATACGCCATCAGAAAAATATAGTCCACGTGTCTACAAACAAAACAAAATGATCAGATTTCTTAATTTGGTGTATATTAACAATAAAATCAAAGCGACAAACACATTTCCATAATCATAAGATTGAATATCCAGTACTCCACACTGCTAACAACCTGTTGGTAACATAATCACGACTGACTTCTTTATTGATGACTTTGACAATAACAGTGAGTGAGTGAGTTTGGTTTAACGCCGCTTTTAACAGTATTCAAGTTATATCACGGCGTGTCAGCTTAATGTGGGAGGAAAGCCCGGTATGGTGCACGTGCTGACAATCCTAGAAACATAATCGGGGCGAATCGGGATTCATAGATTTCTGGCGTACCTCAGGGACGCAACTCTGCACAGCGAATCGCGGCGCCTTAGACGACTGGGCCACCCGTGTCCCCTTGGCAATAACAACCTTCGCCAGTTATTTAAAAAAATGTACCCGAAAACAGCCTACGTCAAGTAATAAACCAAACGAGGAGAGGAACCTATTGAATGTATTTCAGAGTGTGTTAAGTCAGTACGTAATGTTGAAAAAAAGGAAAACAACTGGTTAAAACCCATTCTATCCAATGTGAAACTCTTAATAAAATAAGCATAAGAAACCTATTGTCAGTAACTTCACATCATAAATATCTGGGCATTATATTTTCTACCAGGTTAATCTGGTCTAAAGCTTGTGAGACTATTTCATTACAAGCTAGAAAGTCATGTTTCCCGTTATGTCAACTTATGAAAACCTATCCAGACATATCTTTGAAGACAATTTTTGCTATGTTTTATTAAAAACGTCCACCCATTCTATAATATGGTAGTGAAATCTGGGGATATACATACAGAAAATCTTTAGAAAGTTTATTCTTTGAAAGATTTTTGAAACTCGGAAAACAAGCACCTTCAAGTGCCCATTTGGGCGAAGTTGGCCTTTATAATTTATGTATATTAGAAACTATTTTCGCAGGTGTTTAAAATATTGGTGTAGACTTATTTCTATGACTCCGAAGCGTTACCCTGTTAAGCGATAATCCTGTTATAAAATATTAGTCACACGATGCGAATGGGGCTTTAAATTGGGTTTCACATGTCAGGATGTTATCACTGCAAACAGGTTTTGCTTATGTCTGGATTGCACAGGATTGTGGAAACACGAAGGGTTTCAACACTGTGTTTAAACAGAGATGTGTGATATTGAGATACAGAAATGGTTTCAAAAGATTACGAGGTCATATTTCCTGTCACATTGTAATTCATTATCAGCGCCAGAGATGTATATCACATCCGGTGTTTCAGATAAAGAATTGATCTGTGTATTAGCTGAGTTCCGCACTCTTTCTCATACAAAAACTGCGTTATGGTAATTATAATGTGAAAACAAATGTTGATTAGCTGCTGCTCTACTTTGACCATTGTGATGAATTAGTTGCAATTGTTGAGGACGAGTACCATTTTGTGGTTGTCTGTTCATATTATAAGCAAAGTAGAAATACATTCATTCCACAATATTACCATAAACATCCATCTCGTAAAAAATTAATTGAGCTAATGTCCTCTACAACTCATTCAACAATCAAATGTCTTGCTTTGTATCTGAAGAGAAATTTCAAAAACACACACACAAAAAAAAAACATAATGTATTATGTATTACGTCATATATCATAGAAAAATTGTAAATCAATTGTGTGAGATCCACAAATAAATTGGATACAAATGTATTGTACTCTGGACCACGAGGCCTCCAATACTGAAATAAATAATCTTCAACCTTGAAAAAGAATCTTTAAACCTATTCTGAAAGCAGAGTCCATTGTTCGATAGCGACTGCATCATCAACATGGGCCTAGGAATAATTATCAAATAGTGATGATACCAGGTGTACGCGAAGAGGTGAGCGTATCCTGCCCCACCGGTGGCGCCCATCACAAACACATGCAAAGGTAAGTCAGTTGTTCACCTGATAAAACACGGAAACTAACTGCACAAAATTAAAATTGAGTATTGCGTCGGACATCGTTTTGGTCACTGGTCATTTGGAAATGTCCATCGTGTCTTCAAAACTTTTTGAAAGCTTCACGAAGGCCTTAAATGTAGATCAAACATACTTCAGCAGGAGTCATATGTCGCTCTTTGAAATCTTCTTAGAAAGAGCATGCCATACTTGAAAAACATAATTTGCAAAATATGGTTCGTTGTGTAGAAAAGGCATTTTGGCTGAAAATGAGTACAGTACGATTTCGTTTGTTTATTTTTATTTGTCAGTGTGTTGTCATTATTGAATCAGTTTTATTTCTCGTAAAAGTATAACACTAAATATCTTACGTTGTAATGCTTCTGATGTCATATCCGGCCAAAATCTTCTCTTCCCCTCCCGCCACCGCCACCGTCAGCAACAGCCGGCGTCTACCCGTCTCCTCCGCCTCACGGTCGAACTCCGTTCGGACCCCCTTAGAAGATTAATGTAGATGTGAGTGAGTGAGTGAGTTCTAAACAGTATATCAGTCAATAACCGACTATGATTATATGTAAATACTTTCCCGGTTATAATTGGAAATAATTTTGCCTCAGGTATTGTACCAACATAAAAATGTTCGCAGGGCATGCTTGAATTCTGAATAAAGGTTGTTGTTCTCCTTGGACAGTGTCTCCATGCTGTCTCATAAGCTACAAATAGAAGAGACATGATGTTGTCGGGATCATGAAGAAACTATGAAACTGAAAACTTACATAAAAGCAATTAATACAACGTCTGAACCCAGCCCGTTTGTCAATACCAAACAGTGTTACTTTGCTTCTCTCGAAGTCAAACTAAATAATCATTTCTTATGAACCGCTTGCTCCAATACTTTCCCCTAAAAAAAGGTTCAACCATTTGTACCCGCAGTGTATCAAAACTTCCGGTGATCGCAATGAACGGTTTTCCACAACACTCAGAGGGTAATTTGATCCGCATGTGCCTAATCAATTGATCTGAATACAATTCCATCGGGGCTTTGACGATGAAAGATTTCAACGCCAATCACACCTACCTGTAAAAGTTTCACATATAAATGCTTGGTTGTGGCGTTAGGGTACTCCCAGTCAATGTCAAGGCCATCAAAGCCTCGTTTCCGCAAAAACTCCGAAGAAGATCTGGCAAACTTGGTAATCCACTCCGTTTTGCTTGCCATGTGTGCAAACCTATCTGACAAAGCACTGTTTTCACCTCCTACGGACAACAGCGTGTGTAGGTTCGAGTTTCTTTCTTTAAGTTTATTGAAATGGGTGTACCGTCCATTTCCACCCACGGGGTCTTCAGACCTTGCGTCAGCCGCCACGAGTTTCATAGAGTACTGGTCTAGATTTGCAAACGCATAAACAAGATGGGTACATATCCCTGGGTCGATGTCCTCCACAGGGAGCCGGATGTTGTTGTTGGCTCCAGCAGACCAGCTGGTGTAGTAGCACACACTGACGTACTGGCTGCCTGCAGAACAAAACACACTCAACAATCTGCAGGAAATGACTCAATTCTTCTTTTTGTCTACACATACTATTCAAAAGTAGTTCAAGAGCACTCGATTTGTCCATCTGTCATGTCATTTACTATAGTCAATCTGTCGTGTCCGATTTGTTCATATGACTATAGTTAATATGTCATGTCATGTACAGCAGTCAATCTGTCGTGTCCGATTTGTTCATATGACTATAATTAATATGTCATGTCATTCACAATCAGTAATATGTCAAGTCCTATTTGTTCATATGACTATAATTAATATGTCATGTCATTCACAATCAGTAATATGTCAAGTCCTATTTGTTCATATGACTATAATTAATATGTCATGTCATTCACAATCAGTAATATGTCAAGTCCGATTTGTTCATATGACTGTAGTTGGTATGTCATATTCACAATCAGGAATATGTCAAGTCCGATTTGTTCATATGACTATAGTTGATATGTCATGTCATTCACAATCAGTAATATGTCAAGTCCGATTTGTTCATATGACTATAGTTGATATGTCATTTCATTCACAATCAGTAATATGTCAAGTCCGATTTGTTCATATGACTATAGTTGATATGTCATGTCATTCACAATCAGTAATATGTCAAGTCCGATTTGTTCATATGACTATAGTTGATATGTCATGTCATTCACAATCAGTAATATGTCAAGTCCGTTTGTTCATATGACTATAGTTGATATGTCATGTCATTCACAATCAGTAATATGTCAAGTCCGATTTGTTCATATGACTATAGTTGATATGTTATGTTATTCACAATCAGTAATATGTAATGTCGTTGTCATTGCATAACTGTAGTGATATCGGAAAATCGGGTGTTCTTTAACTACTTAACTACTTGAGTCTTAATATCATGTATTGACAGAGTTACAGTGCACTCTTCATTTAGTGCACGTTGGGTTTAAATAATAACAACCCTTTAATAGAACGTGAGAATAAGCCTGGAAATATACATGACATAAATATATACATTGCAGTACTGGCACGTAAATAAACAACAATGCGTTTGGTCATTAATTGCAATAGACGTGGCTTAGTTATGCTTAATGGAATTTTAATTGCCTTGCAATCTGTTACAGCTTGACACTGCATCGGCAACATTACAGCTATATGAAGGCGGTCTGTAAAAAGTCGAGTTTGTATACGATGACATGCCTCAACCAAGTCAGCGAGCCTGACCACCCGATCCCTTAAGTCGCCTCTTACGACAAACGGGGGTAGCTGAAGACCAATTCTAACCCGTAGATCTTCACGGGGGAGTAGTAGTAGTAGTAGTAGTAGTAGTAGAAGTAGTAGTAGTAGCGGTGGTGGTGGTAGTAGAAGTTGCAATAGTGGTAGTGTCAGTGTAGTAGTACTAGTAGTGGTAGAAGACCTAGCCTCGGTGTCAAAACAATAAGCATGGCGAAGACGGTTATAAAATGATCGAGCCACTCCATCATGTCGCTTCAGATACTGTGCTTGTGCCAGAGCTGGGCATCCACTGACAATGTGTTGGACAGTCTCATTAAATTCATTACATAATCTACATTTCATATTTACATTTCGATGCAAAATCGCACATTGACGGTTTCGAGTGGGAAGTGACTGGTCCTGAGCAGCAAACAGAAAGCCTTCTGTTTCACTTTTCAGACCAGACGACCTCATCCAAGCGAAGGGCTCTGCAGGGTTGATTACCTTATCAACACACTGCATATAAACACGATGCAGTGGTCGTTCACATAGCCTCTCCTTGGGCCGATTTAATATGGCACTTCGCTTGGTTGACACTCATTTCTGTACAGTCCAGCAGTAGAGAACCATCAACATAATAAACACTGACACTGAGATTATGTCCAACATCCTTGGCTCGTTTTAGAAAACTGTGGAATGCCTTGTTTTCATCACGAGTCTTGACATGCTTCACGAGAGGATCCTCGGATAAATAAATGTGTGCAAAAGTGCACAAAACAATTTTATCATGAAGAGCCTCCACATTAATCAAACCACGCCCTCCAATCATAATTGGTAAATATAGTAGTTGAAGTAGTAGTAGTAGTAGTAGTAGTAGTAGTAGTAGTAGTAGTAGTAGTAGTCCAACAAAACGGGTTAAAAGAAAAAATATATAACAACTGAGATGACAAAATGTACATTGGAAGCTAAATATATTTCCGGTCAGTAGGAACATGGTGATACGTGTCCTACAATAACTGATGTCATAGCAGGTTTTTACACAAAACTCGTTGCAGAAGATTCAACCATTCTTGGACTTAACGTCCGTGTGACCTTGGTTAAGAAACGTTCTCGCAGTTTTGTTCCGAATTGATAAAAGAGAGCCGTACCGTGCACACCCGTCAACGCCGCCACGAGCAGCACCGTCACTCCTTGTATCCAGTGACTCATTAGCCTCGTTCTGAAACAAACACAAACAAGACGTTTAAGAGCGAATATGTTGACCCAACATGACAAACATGAACTATTCCATAATATTACCACGAAAGAAAGAGACAGGTAACAACCTAATAATCCCGAACAGCTAAGCGATGTACCACACGTTCGTGGCTACAATAAATCCACATGCCTGCTGATCAGCCGAGTGTGTAAAGTTCATGCATAGTTCATGCTAGCATCAACATGACACCGCTTCACGTGCTGATTTCTGTACGTTTGCATGCCAGGCTTGTGCTAACAGAGAAATTTGATCAGGCAATCCCCGGGGCAGTGGTGTACACCTGTATCGTGGCTTCAGCTCCCGAATGACATGATCCTAGTCACTGACACGGTTGAATAGTTTCCATGTTTGACGTTTGCCAAGATTTGCTGAAGTCAGGTGAGGTGAGGTGAAATGGGGTTTAACGTCGCGTCCAAGATTATTACATTTATATAGCGTCGTGCATGCCCGTGTATGTGTGTGTGTGTGTGCTTGTACTAGTCCGGACTGATGCCGATTTATAGTGCTAGCTCACTGAGATACCATGCCGCAGTTTTACATGAATACCCCACTCAGACACAGTATACTGACTCCAGTCCTTGTTTAAGCCCCTTAATGCCGCGCGCCAGACAGGGTAACAACAAGTACCATCTTTTAACGTCTTTTGGTATGACGCAGTCGGGGATCGAACCCCGGACCTTCCGCTCTCCGGCCGGACGCTCTACCATTAGACCACGGAGGCTGTCGGCTGAAGTCAGCGTAACATGAGGACATGTGTAGCATCCACAGTTTAACCCGAAATTGGTACTTAATTATCATAGATTGCAAGACACATCTTCATAAAGTATATAATTTGATATAATCCGTTCGTACGTTTCTGATCATGGAAGACATTTCCTAGGTAACTTCATCTCTGGTGAAGGAGAGGTTTAGGACTTTGCTTTACAGCAATGTCAAGGTACAAACGTTACACGAATATTCGGGACTGCTCGGCTTGCATGACTTTCGTGCGTTCAATCTCGGGTAGCAGTTGAGAAGTGAGATTGTGACTGATTTCACTGTAAACGGCATACGTACCGAACCCCATGAGTTCGTGACGGCCGATTTTGAGAAACTTGCTTTGGGTTTATAGAACTTAGAAACACGACTGATGTGGAGCAACAGTTATATAAAGTGTGACGACTGACACAACAGTGTAATGTTGAAGTCAGGCCGCGATAACTCATGGGATTGGGACTGCAAGTAAAGGGAGATAATTTAGAGAATTAGCGCTTCCTGGACCAATGATTTGCTCCATACAATAGATGGTATAGAGAAGGATTGTCCCATTCTAGACACCTCTCAACCCATGAACCATGCCAAACTTTGAATGTGACGGCTCTTATCGTCAAAACGCCAACAACCACCGTCACATAGCTGGAATATTGCTGAGCAGCAAACAAAACAAAACAAACAACTGTTGGCTGTAACGACCTAATTGAGCACAACGCTCGTAAAATCACCCGAAAACCGCCTCTGCGTGTAAGTCCAGGAACCTGTTTTGTTGGAACCATTTGATTTTCAGGGGGAAAGTCTGGATTTTAGTTCGAGATAAGTATTTGTATTAAAAATGTTCAGAAATTCAATTATTTTTCCAACATAAAAAGGTGTCCAAATATATATTTTAATTATAAATGCTGACGTCTTTACTTTGGGCATTTATCTGCATGTTACTTTTTTTCTGAAGTAAATATTAGCCATTAGTTAAGTAATTATGGGCAAGAACAGGAACCTCCTTGTGATGCTTGGGTGCAGCAGGATGGAGGATGGTGATCAGATTAGTTTAAGATGTGAAAAACATTGAAGATACATGTAACATTGAATTAAATGTGTCAGCTGTTGTTCCAGCAAAAAAAGGCTTCATTATCTTTGTCACACACACACACACACACACACACACACACACACACACACACACACACACACACCACCCCCTCACTCCGGCAAGTGGCTGTTCCTTAAACATTGCTTGGGTAGTGGGTAACACAGTGATACAGTATATTTGCTTCGTGTACATACTCCGCATAGCGTCACGAGACAGAGTTATCAAATAGGTCATTAAACGGACATCCCCCACGCCGTGGACATCTCCCGTCGTACTTAACCTACAAATATGTGTTTATGGAAATAAGAGTTATAATGTTGTCCTCTGAATGTCCACCACGTACACATGTTATCTCCGGGGGCGGTCGGGTAGCCTAGTGGTTAAAGCGTTCGCTCGTCACGCCGAAGACCCGGGTTCGATTCCCGACATGGGTACAATGTGTGAAGCCCATTTCTGGTGTCCCCCGCCGTGATATTGCTGGAATATTGCTAAAAGCGGCGTAAAACCATACTCACTCACTCACTCACATGTTATCTCCGAGAGTCATTTAGATGTATGTTATGTATCCATATAACTGGGGTGCGGTGGAATTGGCGAGTATTTTTCTAAGTTAACATTGCTGATGCGCATGGGTTCAAAAGCATACGTAGTCGTTTGGACATTGGTTAGAAGGGGGGCAGTTAAAGACATCTCGACTTGATCGCCAGTGTCCCCCGCCGACGTCAGTTGTAACTGGGTTTGCCTGCTCTTACTCGAACATGTTGATTAAACTGTCACGATACAATTTTGTGTTTAATTCTAACACGGTAGCCAAACTGTCACTCGTTATAGTTGTAAATATTGTGCACTAAATTGAACACGGTAGCTAAACTGTCACTCGCTATAGTTGTATATATTGTGCACTAAATTGAACACGGTAGCTAAACTGTCACTCGTTATAGTTGTTTATATTGTGCACTAAATTGAACACGATGGCTAAACTGTCACTCGTTATAGTTGTATATATTGTGCACTAAATTGAACACGATGGCTAAACTGTCACTCGTTATAGTTGTATATATTGTGCACTAAATTGAACACGGTAGCCAAACTGTCACTCGTTATAGTTGTAAATATTGTGCACTAAATTGAACACGGTAGCTAAACTGTCACTCGCTATAGTTGTATATATTGTGCACTAAATTGAACACGGTAGCTAAACTGTCACTCGTTATAGTTGTTTATATTGTGCACTAAATTGAACACGATGGCTAAACTGTCACTCGTTATAGTTGTATATATTGTGCACTAAATTGAACACGATGGCTAAACTGTCACTCGCTATAGTTGTATATATTGTGCACTATATTGAACACGGTAGCTAAACTGTCACTCGTTATAGTTGGATATATTGTGCACTAAATTGAACACGATGGCTAAACTGTCCCTCGTTATAGTTGTATATATTGTGCACTATATTGAACACGGTAGTTAAACTGTCACTCGCTATGGTTGTATAGATTGTGCACTAAATGGAACACGATGGCTAAACTGTCAATCGCTATGGTTGTATATATTGTGCACTAAATTGAACACGATGGCTAAACTGTCACTATGAATTATGTGTGATCTTACGCCATCACGTCAGTCAAACTGTCACGTTACAGTCATGACTGTTAAACTTGCTATGCATGACCGTTTGGCAAAACACGACCATGTCATCGCTCACGGATGACCTTCACGGATGAGTAAATGTCAAGATAATTATAAACGCCTCAATGAAAGTTATCTATGTTAAAGATGAACAGATTAGTATTTGCTCAGGGACTGAATAATATATCATACCATCTGCGAAGTAAACATGTGTACAGCTGGACACACGGAAGCTTCAGCCCCAGTAGTTGCACATCGACTGATCCACTCACTAACTCACTCACTCACTCACTCACTCGCTCATTCACCCGTTGTAATTAACGACTTATGTGAAACTGAAAAAGTGTGTGTGATTACGACATGAACATTCTTTATGTGACAAGCACATAGGGTTTTCACTTACTTGAATGAAACTTGCTGGGTTAGTAAATATACTCACACGCAAAAGAAACGTAAGTGGTTTTAAGCAAATAGGTAACAAACACGGAACCATAAATTGATACGAGTTTTAGCATGTAGTGAAGCCTGATGGTGTTATCAGTATTTTTGGTTGCATTTTGGAAACCCCGAGTAAAAACGCAACATAAAAAACGAATCGACAAAACGCACCATTTCAATGAATATGTGGGTATCATGCACCCATTTCTCGCGAAATCGAAAATGCAGGAACTGTCACGAACTGTAGTGGGTATAAAACTGTGGCCGATTATTGGACCTACAACTCCTTGGTCAACAATGCCACGCCTAACTCAAATTCAGAGAAACCAGGCTATCGAACGTTTGGAAGCTGGAGAGTGTCCAAGATGTTGCCCGTCATTTCAACGTTAACATAACCACAATTTACCGTCTCCTGCATCGATACAATGCTACACAGACCACAGATGACCTTATTTGGAGCGGTCGTCCTAGGGTCACCACACCTCCACAAGATCGGCAGATTACCCGTCAACACCAGCGACATCCGTTCCTAACTGCAAGTGAAAGTACTCGACAGACCATAGAAACACATAATCAACACATTAGCCGGGACACTGTGATCCGACGTCTCCGTTCCAACAACCTCAGATGTCGCCTACCAGAACCTCGTCCTGTTCTCCAACCACGGCATCGACAGGCACGACTTCAGTCGGCACAGGGTTATCGCAATTGGCGTCATCGTGAGTGGAGGCGTGTCATTTTCTCTGATGAAAGTCGCTTTTGTGTCTCCCATGCAGACGGAAGAGTCAGAATTTGGCGGCGTCGAGGTGATCGTTTCGCTGACAGAAAGGTTTTGAAAGGGATCTATGGGGTGGACCTAGCGTCATGATATGGGCAGGGATTGGACTTAATCCGAGACTTGGACCCATGTGCTTTCTGAATGTTGGTCAAGGTCGGGGACACGGCGGCACTGCTCAGCGGTATATCGACCAAGTGATCAGACCCCACCTTGTTCCATTTTTTGCACAACATCAACAACACATTTTCCAGCAGGACAACGCTCGTCCCC